GTTGTGCAAGAGAACTGGGGAGGGGCAATTAATTGGGTTAATTAGTTGCCGGAGTTCGTTGCTGCCGCCGGAGTCCGCTGCCGACTGCTGCCGCAGTGCTGCCGCCACCGACGGACTGCCTTGGTTGTGCAAGGAAACTAGGGGGCAATTATTTAGATCAATTTATTAATTAAATAGAATTAGGGTTAAAAAGGTAAGGTTGGTCCTATTTAGAGAAAAACACAATGTGATCCTATTTTGGGAAAAAGCTTGAGTTTTGGTCCTATGTTGGACAATTTTCTCTTGATTTTACATTTGTTTCTTTACTTAAAAACATAAGCAGAATGATAATCAATTTTTCAAAAGTTGGTTCTTCAACTTCTAAAAAACTGGTTATATGAGCAATTTAGAACACCCGGAAGAATTGTTGCAACTTCATTCAAACACTTGAATATCTACTTTTACTTTCTAAACGAATAGATGTAGTTTTAAGGAATAGATCCAAACACCTTCTTACTCTTTTCTTAGTTTTAACTTTTTCCTCCGGTAGATGGATACTTCTTCTGCCTTTCTTTTTGTTTTGTTTTTCATACAAAATTTGAGTGTTCACCATAAATGGAGGGTGAAATCAGGCCAGTCTAGCAGAGCAAATTAAATTAAATTTCAAAATCAGATGCAAGAGGAGGCCTCTCTCCTTTGCCATAGCGGTGTTGTATGGCGCCGTCACCAAACTCACTAACAATCGGGACATGGTCTCTTGTTCTCTATCATGACTGGAGAACTAGAGAGGAACATCCGAAGACCCCTATAGAAGTTATCCCTAACTCCATCTCTTCAACTTTCGACCCTTTGAAATTCAAGAACAACAAATTTTTTCGTTACTCATTTCGTAATTTATGTACGCTCATTTTAAAATGTCATATTAATGCATCGTTTAAAAATATAATATTATATTAGATTCACAAATTGGAATTTGCAAGAGTTAATTATTATATATACAATTTAAGATTTTTTTTTTTTGCAAACAGGTCGTGTGTGTACGGTGGACTCAACTACATATCTACATATTTAAATTCAGATAGTGCTTGTAGAGTGGACTCAACTACATATCTTATGACGAAATTGCGCAACCCTAAGTTCTGCAAAAAATCGATTATGGTGTTGGGAGATATAGATCATTCTATGGGATTGTGTAATGGAATGAGACTTATGTTGACGAAGTTGGGGATCACATCGTGGAGGGATTTTTTTTTCTAGTGTCAGTGCAGGCCATACAGTTCTAATTCCAAGATTTTCCTTGACCTCTTCTTATGCCAGATTGTCATTCTGTTTTCAAAGAATAGAATATCCAATAAAGACATCTTATGGTATGACTAAAAAAAAGTCAAGGACAATCGTTATCATGTGTATGGTTGGTATTGAGGAAATTCATTTTTAGTCACAGTCAAGTTTTATACTTTTATGTTACCGTTTCGAGAGTAACAAATAAGAAGGAGCTTAAGATTTTGATTTCCGATGAAGACGGCTAGTCAAACAATGAAACAATGAATGTCGTGTAAAATAGAGACTTCTTTCAAAATCTCTAAGATCTTATTTAAGTTTGACTAATGAATTTAATTTTAACGCTAACTTCGTGAAAAAACAACAATATTCATTTTTATGTTTTTTTTTGCATTAAATTTGATCCTTCAATTAATGTGACTCTTAGTGGTTTGTCGAATTTTAATGCCCACACAATATAATATAATCCATATACCGGTATAATTGATTTTTTGGTCGTGTTCAATTAAAGAATAATAATAAGAAGATACATAAATAGTACAGAGTAAGTATAACTACAATTATAATTACAATTATAATTATCTGTACTTATAATTACAATTGTGAGTGAAATGATAAGGTGAGAAGTCCTCCTTAAGATGAGAAATGAGAAGTAATCTCAGCCCTTGGATTTGCATCTAATCTTACAACGCAGCAAACTTATAGATTGAATATAGTAACTTATAACCAATAAATCATAACTTATAAAGCTCTCCATCTTAATTACGGTAATGCCACCGCGTCAAAAAATATTCCAGGTTTCTGGAGTTATTTGGACGTGGTGGCATTTTCGTAATTTTGTTCGAGGGGGTCTATAAGTTATGATTTATTGGTTAAAAGTTTGTACTTTTAGCTTATAAGTTAGACTTCGCAGCTTCTCAGCCTAAGGGCACTTCTCACCTGATCCGCTCCCATTATACCTAGGATATAATTATAATTATAATTATAATTATAACTATAATTGTTATTATATTATCATTATATTATCATTATTGCTATCCTTGTTTTTATCTTATCTGAATCATTTCTCATTTCGTTTTATCTTAATTTTTTGAAAAAATAATTATATGTTTATGACTAAAATAACGATTACTTATAAAATGTGACTAATGACTAGAGTAGTAATAGAATTATTGTAACTTATGTTTAATTTTTAATTTTATGTTATAATAACACTACATTATAGTAAATATTATCATATTTGTATAAATAAATTTTATTTTAATAATATTTGTAAGTTTTTTTTATATGTAATTTGAATAAAACTAGATTTTCACCCGTGCGATGCATGAACAAAGATGTATCCCCTCTGTTCCATTTTACATTTCCAGTCCGTCCCACTAAGATCGTCTCATACCAAATTTGGTAAAGTTTGTGTGGTTCTAAATCATTCTTAGTTTATTCTCACTTTATCAATTTAATATCAACCACATAAACTACTTCTATTGGTTTGCACATCACGCTTATCCTATTGTTAGTGGACAAAGGGAGTAGTTTAAATATAAAAATTACTCCATTAAAGCTAGTACTAGTATGTAGTATAAGACTGTCATTCGTAACGTCTATTAAAGCTACGGATGAAAGGAAATCATGTATATACATGTACTATACAAAAATATGTTCTTAAATAAATGCAACATGATAATTTTATATTTTCCACATGTTGTACTTTTACTACATTTTACGGAGTATTTATTTAGGTATTAATAAATTATTTTTACGGAGTATTTACTACATTAAAAAATTGTTAAATTTGTCTCAACACAAATTATCGAAATATGAATCTTTTTTTTTGTTTTACTTATAGAGAATTAATTAAATATATTATTGGTCAAAAATTATACATCGACAAACGTGAAAAGTGGACAATTGCACTTATTTAAAAACAAAGACAATATATTTTATAAAGTCCCTTTTGACCTGCTATTAATTTGAGAATTTGTGATATGACGTCGGTATTACTTATCACAAATATTAAGAAAATTCCTTATAAAATAAAAAAATCTCCCATAAAAAATTACATGAAGTATTTTTGTTAACTAATAATTTGAAATTCGAATAGTTTTTGCCAAAAAAAAAAAAGAATTAGAATATTTACACAACGTATGAGTCGTGGGTTCTATGTAATATGAAGTATTCCTTAATTCCTACAAAATATTTTGTCTCTCAATATCCAAATATGTTGTATATATGTAGCACAGTCAAATGAAAAGACTTGACTCAATAAATCAAATGACATCCACTCATATTGGTAGACACCCCATCACACTCATTTCTAAAATCAAAAGGATGGTCCACCCAAATACTTCATATGTTTTTAAGCTAAAATGTGTATTTAACCGTTTGGTCCAAATGATGCAATCGTTGGGTATTACATAGCACACGACCATGTATTAACTTCTGGATATTGCGGTACAATACACCATTAATTGGGTTGGGTTGGATTGATTTTGATTATGATTGTGACATTTTTGAGCGGGAAAATGAGATTGTCTCGAGGTAGTAATAATGTGCTTCAAATGTCTGCTACGAAGTTTTTTGTTGGTAGATTCTATGGTACCTTAAGGTATCATACCTTTGTTCACATGGACCAATCAAAATGGTGCAGTTGAATTATTTAAATCTAAATTAAAAATGATATAATAATTTGGACCAATCAAATTAATGATATGTACGGTACCGATGTTTAGGCGCAAATTATATGGTGCAACCGGCGCACCATGAGGATGGTGCGCCCGGTTGCAAAAACGACGCAGTCTCCTTTTTTTTTTTTGCTTTTGATGTTAAAAATGATAATAACTTTTTAATTTTTGATCCGATTTTTATAAAATTTATATCAACATTTTTTATTTTTCATGATCTTTCAAATGAGACCAATATTGTGTATGTAATTTTAAGAAATTATCGAACTATTATATTAATGAGTATTGGATTATAAGAAAAATCGAATCTGTTTGGGAGATGATAGGCTTGTGAAATAGAAGATCGAATCTGTTTGGGAGTGGATCAGTGGCCTCAGTTACATTTGATAATACATTGAGTTACATCTTTTTATGAGCGAGTTACATCTTTTTATAAGCAAGTTACATCTTTTTATAAGCGATTTACATCTTTTTATAAACAAGTTACATCTTTTTATAAGCGAATTACATATATATATACACACGAGTTGCATTTGACATGTTTGAACGTGACTTACATATATTTACACATAAAGTTACATATTTTTACACGTAAAGTTACATATTTATACACGCGAGTTACATATTTATACACACGAGTTGCATGTGACCTGTCTGAATGCGAGTTACATATTTTTTACGTAAAGTTACATATTGTTACACGTAGAGATACATATTTATACACACGAGTTGCATTTGACTTGACTGAACGTGAGTTACATATTTTAACACTTAAAGTTACGTATTTTACACACAAATATTAATATGTTAAAATTATATAGGCAATATTGGTCTCATTTGAAAGATCATGAAAAATAAAAAATGTTGATATAAATTTTATAAAAATCGGATCAAAAATAAAAAAGTTATTACCATTTTTAAAAAACAAAAGGAAAAAAAAAATACAAACCGTCCCGGTATACGGTGCTCACCGTGTACCCATTGCACGCACTCATGTTTAGGAGGGTAGTTGTTACCTTTTTTATGTTTTGTTTTGAGAGTACTAGAAAAGAATTCAGACAGCAGAGCTATCTGAGGAATTCCACTTCTCACTTCTCAGAGGAACCTCTCTTTTCTCCCTCCTCCTCGGACGAGCCACAAGGGCGGAGACAGAACCACGGCCATGTTTGTCGGCGAAATGTCCGAGCCGGATGAAAAAACTCCAAACTCAAAGGAGCTATCGTGTGCTCCTTACGCGACGGCGGAGTGGGAGCGTCTGATAGCTATCGATCTCGATGCTTCCTGGACTTTCGATCAGATTTTTTCGGCCGATACTTTGAATCCGAACTCTCCATTAGTTCTCCCCGGACTCGCCCAGCCTTGGTCCCCTCTCTGGACGCTACCGGATGAGCCCCCTTGTAAGTGTGGCTATAGCTCTCTATCGAAATGCTTGGACTTTCTGGTTAATGGATTAAAGATCGCTGCTTAATCTTTCTGCCTTTCTGAAATTGTACTTTAACATTAAAGACTGGAAAGTTTTTGAGAATGAGCTCATTTAAGGATGCCTTTTGACTTATTTATAAAATTTTACAAAACGTGATTTCGGAGAATTTACTCGAGACAGGATTTAAGCATTCATATTTTTGTCACTGAGTTAAGCACTATTTCTCAATTACTATGCGACTGTTTTGTGGTTTGTTTTGAGCGGAAGGTGGGTACAAAAAAATGGAGATTCATAGTGCTATTCCTATCCGATTCAGTTCAATTTTGTGTGGGTTTTAGTTAGACAGTATGAGCAGAACTGGGCAAGATGGAACCTAAAATCTTTTTTATATTCAATGAGTATTCTATTTACTACTCCCTCCCGTTCCTATTTAAGTTCTCACATTTCTCAATTACTATGCGACTGTTTTGTGGTTTGTTCCCTATTTAAGTCCTAGGAAACAAAACAGTGCAAAACAGTGCAAAACAGTGCCAAACAGTGTCCAAACAGTGCACTCCACAGTAAAGTCAAATTTATTTTCTTAATCTGTGTGAAGTCAAACTTGGAACTTTAATAGGGACCGGAGGGAGTATATTTATTTTCTCTCTTAGTTGTACAGTGTCTCATGATACGGTATGTGATTCTTTGTAGATAATTGTAACTGATATCCAATTTTAGTGATAGGTAGAATATGATTTTTCTTTTATTGTGCTTTCAAGACGTAGAGGATCTTGATTCTATTGTCGATGTCATGCCTGGACAAGATGAGGAAGCCAGTCAACCACATCCTTTTACACGGTCGACCCCAAAAGATTATCTAGATGGATCGTGTATAATCAAGGAGAAGATGACTCAAGCTCTGAGATACTTCAAAGAATCAACTGGAGAACATGTCTTAGTCCAGGTATGGGCACCAGTGAAGAGCGGTGGGCGGTATGTCCTCACAACTTCAGGGCAGCCCTTTGTGCTTGATCCAAACAGTAATGCGCTTCATCAGTATAGAATGGTTTCTCTGATGTATGCTTTTTCAGCGGATGGAGACAATGATGGAATCCTCGGGCTTCCAGGCCGTGTTTTTCAACAAAGGTCACCGGAATGGTCACCAAATGTGCAGTATTACTCTAGCAAAGAGTATCCCCGGCTCAATCACGCATTGAACTACAATGTTCGAGGAACTGTAGCATTGCCAGTATTTGAACCTTCCGGGCAGGCTTGTATTGGTGTAGTTGAACTCATTATGACATCTGAGAGAGTCAATTATGCCCATGACATTTATAAAGTCTGCAAGGCTCTTGAGGTTTGTTTTGTTGCCACTCTTGACTAGTTTTTTTGTGGGAATATGATGTGCCTTCTTATAGAGATTTAGAGCTTGTTTGGTAAGATTTCAAATGATTGAATTAGCTGAATCTGGTAAAATTGTTTAAGCTATGGCTGAAACATCTGAGTTTTGAAAAAATAAGATAAAGTTATATTTTATTATTGAAATAAAGAAAAATATGCTCCCTCAATCCCTTAAAACTTTGTAATCTTTGAGTTTTTTGGTCAATGAAGTTAAACTTTGACCAACTATATATTTTTATAGGAAATTATTTATAATATAAAAATAATATGAAAATATTCATTGTTAAAAATAAATTCATAAGTATAGAACTTATAACTTTCACATAATTATATTAATCAAAATCATTGATCAAAGTTTACCACCATCGACTTGAAAAGCCAAAGATGACAAAGTGTTAAGGGACGTAGGAGTATATGGAAAGGTCAAAAAAGGTCATCTTTATCACTTTCATATTCTCAACCAAATAATCCTTCAGCGCGTGCAGTCAAGTAATCGACATTTGGTTATAATATGTGGTAGTTTTTGTTATTTTAATCCTCCTATCATGTAAATGTCACTGCTCGTGCTCTTCTTTTGAACTCTTTTACTTGGTCTTTTATTTAGTGTGACAAAGACATTCCAGTACCTGTATTTGATTTTTTCTACTTTTATTCCTCTAACTTTTGTGAAAGTGACATTTTTGCTACTTGTCTTTGAATTTTGCCATAATAGTTAGATGAACAAAGTGTCAATATGACAATAGTCAGAGCACCAAAAGCGTCTCTATCACAATAGTCAAATGACTTAAAGAGGAAAAAAATTATAGACGAGTACCAAAGGTGTCTCAGTGACATAAGTAGAAAATTTCAAATACTGATAGAAAAATTTTCATTAAGGAAATAGTTGAAGATTAAAAGTGGCAAAAACTAAAAGAAAACTGTCTAATAGGGTCCTATGGAAGAAAAATATGGCTACCAAATGACCACTTAGGAATTACTTCAGAACCGAGTTATCACAACTCTAATTTTAGAAAAGTAAAAATTTCATTCCGGATAAGATATTGGTCTGCATACATTCTCACAGTTCTAAGCTTTCATGCTCTTGATTGCCCTGTAGTCAGATTTGACATTTTTCTGCAGGCCGTGAACTTGAAAAGTTCTGAGATATTGGATCATCCAACCGCACAGGTGAGAAGAAACCTAAGCTGCTAATATGTGAATATAATGGAAGCACTTGCCTAAATCAACCTTCCCCCTGATCACATGTGTGTGAATATTGGATTTACCAGATTTGCAATGAAGGTCGCCAAAATGCATTAGCAGAGATCTTGAAGATCTTGACAGTGGTTTGTGAAACTTACAAACTACCGTTGGCTCAGACTTGGGTGCCATGCAGGCACCAAAGTGTCCTAACAGATGGCGGTGGTGATTTGGAAAAGAATGGTAGCTGCATGGGAGAGGTCTGTATGTCAACAACAGATGCAGCATTCTATGTGGTTGATGCTCACACTTGGGGTTTCCGCGAGGCTTGTGCAGAGCATCATTTGCAAAAGGGACAGGGAGTTGCTGGTAGGGCCTTTGCTACTCACAGCTCGTGTTTCTGTGAAGACATCACTAAGTTTTGCAAAACTGAGTACCCTTTGGTGCATTACGCACGAATGTTTGGTTTAGCCAGCTGTTTTGCCATCTGCCTGCGGAGCACTCACACTGGCAATGATGATTATCTTCTTGAATTTTTTTTCCCTCCAGTTCCTCTTGATGAGCAGCAGGTTCTGTTGAACTCTGTCTTGTTGACCCTGAAGAATCACTTGAAGAGCCTTCGGATTGCTTCTGGAAACTTACTTGAGCATGTTTGGGGATCTGTTGAAATTATTATAGCTTCTAAGGATAAAGAATCAATTTTGATGTCTAAATCGCTTTCCTCTCCCCAGCCTGATATCTTACCAAACATGCAGTTCTGCTCTGATGCATTGGAAGACACTCCAAATGGAGGAACTGTTAATAAGCCTCCAGAAGCCCAGCATCACGCTCCCATTGCTGTGAATGTAGAGACGGATAAGAAGGAGAAAAAACGTGGGAAGGCAGAAAAAATAATTAGCTTAGAGGTTTTGCAACAACATTTTTCTGGGAGTCTTAAAGATGCTGCAAAGAGTCTCGGTGGTATGCTCATACCTTTTAAACTATGTATATCGTTTTGCAAGTCATGGCTGTCTCATGGTATTAATTATGTTAGTAGAAAAACTATTGATTATGATGGGTTCAGGTTGCAGTAAGAAGGTTGCAGTAAGCGACTTAGAAAAATGTCTCACATTTTTCCTTCATAAGAAGGTTGCAGTAAGAAGAACATCCATCTAAAAACTTTCCCACTAATAGGTTTATCAAGATCCAGTTCAATCTTGATTGTAGGATATGGTCTACATTTTGGTAAATGTCAAGTCATCCTACACTTGTCAAATACAAAGTTACAAACTCATGTATAAACCTTTCTAGGGTTTAACCACGAGTCTTTTATCAGATACCATTACACTTGAATAAGAAACTCGATTTGACTAAAATTCAAAAATAGCATGTCTATTCTAACGAGTCACCATCTTGAGAGAGATTCAGCCACATGCAAAGATAAATCCACATATAATGTTCTGGGTTACTCCTAAGGTCATCATTTTATAATGAAATTTCAAATCTTAAGAATGACAAAATATTGTATTTGACAAGATTAATTTTGACCAAGGTCAGTACAAGATTGATCCACATGAGATTTGTGGGATTTGTTTACAATTGCATTTATTGCAGGAAGGGAAAAATAGGTGTCTTACAATTATTTTTTATGCTTGCAGTTTGCCCTACAACAATGAAGCGCATCTGCAGGCAACATGGGATCTCTCGTTGGCCATCTCGCAAGATAAACAAGGTCACTCGTTCTCTTTCAAAGCTCAAACGTGTAATTGAATCTGTGGAAGGAGCTGATGGAGCATTCACACTGAGTACAACAATATCACCAAGTTCAATTCCTATTGCTGTGGGTCCGGTTTCTAGGCCACCAACTGCTGACACATCCAACCACCACATCCCACCACTGCACAGACCCTCTGACTCTCCAGAAGTGAACAGTGAGTTCTTCAACCATAGAGTTTCTGAAAGTCACAATGAAGTCGAACATTCGAATCAAATGCTTGATGGACATGTTTTGAAGGATGATGAGCTTGCAGTAGGTCAAGGGTCAAAAAGGTCAAGTGGCTCAAGAGAGGAAAATTTAGGAACCCCACCTACTTCGCATGGCTCGTGCCAAGGTAGTAGCCCTTGCCGTGAAAATGAGCTTGCAGCATCTCCCATAGACGACATCACTATTCCCGAGAGAGTGCCACTGCATCCTGCCAGGCCAGGAGGGACCTCATCTATAACAATAAAAGCCAAGTACGGGATAGATATCATAAGGTTTCGACTGCCTTTGAATTCTAGCATTGTGAAATTACAAGAGGAAGTAGTCAAGAGGTTGAAGTTGGAGGAGGGAACCTATGAGATCAAGTATCTAGACGATGATCGCGAATGGGTTTTGATTGCCTGTGATGCGGACTTGCTGGAATGCATCGAGGTTTCGAGATCATCTGGTAGCAACATAATGAGACTGTTGATCCATGACATCATACCTAATATCAGAAGCTCTTGCGAGAGTTTGGGTGATTGTTGAATACACATATAGGAGACGTATAAAAAAGGAGATGTATATAGCTCTTGCAAGTAGAGTCATCGTATAATCTATTCTGGTCTTCTTATCAAATACCTTGGGCCTTCAATCATGGTGACTTATATTTTATTTCTATACTTTGAGTTTGTACGGTTTGTATCTCAACTTACTTAGAATGCTTGTACATTAGGCTGAATGTCGAATATGTCTTTGACAGACTCATAGTTTATGCTCCCTTATGTCCCACAAGTAGGGCTGTAGGGGTTAGAGACTCATATTATTCGTATTGATGTAAATTCTAAAAATTCATATTCATTTAATAATTGAATTTTATTTAATATTTATATACGCTTCGTTTATTGTATTTGAATATTTGAATTTGAAAATAATTAAATATCAAATTCATCAAAGTAATTAAAATTGTTTGTGTATAGTTTATCCTTTTTATCCCATTTTCATAACACATATTTCAAACAAATCAAAACATATTTATTACTCAATTTTCCATTATTAACCTGAAAATATAACGCCAAAATCATTCAAAATAAGACATGCTAAATACATACTAATTTGAGTACCTTAATAGTACGTAGTATGTGATAGAGTATATATCTAGAGAGGTGAGAGCTAGAGAGAGAAGTGTAAGTAAATGCTTCAATAGAATGATTTTGTAACCCCTACAACTACCTCCAGAGGAAGTATTTATAGGAAAAATACGGGCTGAGCTTCCAAGCCTTGGGCTTGGGAGGCCCATTTACAACTGGACCACTATTGGGCCGAATACAAAGTAAATGATGGGATATATAAATGAATAAGTGTAAAATCTAGTTCTGCGGAACTTCCGTGGCCGATGAGGGTCTGGCCGACGAGGGCACGGCCGATGAGTACACCTTGATTCCCTGGCTTCAGGATCATATTCTGAGTTGGTCCCTCTTCGGCCGACGAGGGTCCTTTGGCCGACAAGGGCACTGCGTAGTGGCTTGTACTTTCTGTTCTTCTGAGTATGTGGGTCCTGGGACCTAGACCCATATACTCCATCAGTATGTTACTTATATTTTTACAATAATATGTATACCGAGTGTTATGTGTGTGTGTAATATCCCTAAATAATTCAAATATATTCGAATATTATTCGAATCAAATATAAAATTGTTTGTATTCTACTAAAAAACTATTTGAATAAAAAATAGAATTATACTCCTTTTATTCCCAAAGTAGGAGTATAAGTATTGTATATTTTGTATAAAATACTCCCTCCGTCTCTAAAAGGATTGCCAAGTTTGACCGGCACGTAGAATAATAAAGTAAAAACTGTGTGGTAGATATTTGTGCAGAGGAGAGAGAAATAACAGAAACCACAAATCGATTGACTAATACTCCTAATAGGGAAAGTGGTAAAGTTTTTGGGACAACCAAAAAAGGAAAGTTGATAAAGTTATAAGGGACAGATGGAGTATACGGCTATTAGCCTCAAATGGAACTAAAAGTAGCCCAAAATTTCAGTATACTCCTTTTATTCCCAAAGTAGGAGTAATACACGTCTCTTCTTCATATTCTATCCTCAAACTATAATTTCTAATAGATTTATTTTTTAATAAAAAAATTCATAGTTTTATTTATAATAAAAACATAAAAAATCAAAAAAAAAATTATAAATTAATAAAATATTGGGAAAAAAAATAAAACAAAACAAAATAAATTTTAAAAAAATAAAAAATAAATAAAAAAATCTAAAAAAAATAAAATACGTAAAAAATATTTAAAAATTTGTAGACCACTACCTCCGCATCCTCCACCACCTCCGATCGCCGGAAAAAATGTCATCTTGTGTAAAAAATGTTACTCCCCCCGTTCCTTATAACTTTGTCAAATTTTCTTTTTTGGATGTCCCATTAACTTTGCAACTTTCCCTTTTAAGTAAAGAATTTGTGGTTTCAGTTAATTCTCTCTCCTCTGCAAAAACTCCAACCACACAGTTTTTACTTTATTAATCTCCGTGCCGGTCAAACTTGACAAAGTTATTAGGGGTGGAGGGAGTACATTTTTCTGAAAATCCCATGAATATGACATTTTTACTCTGAAAATATCAAGCTTTCTTTGAAAAAAAATTCCAAATAAAAGATCTCATGTTGTACATTCCGGACTTTTTGAATTAAACGTGGAATAGTTTCCAAGCTCAAGAAATAAAAATGCTTAATGTCAAAACTAAAGACAATAAGGGCCTGTTTACTAACAAAGATATTTTCCTATTTTCTACTTCTGTTTTTTGTTCTCCAATTTTCTGTTTTTATTTTTCAATTTTTCTATCTCCAGTTTTCTGTTTCTATTTTCTAGTTTTTCATTTTCAAATCTGAAAACATGTTTATCAATTTTTTTCACTTCCGTGATCATCAAGAAGACTGACATATTTACTTCACGGGTTACTAAATGGTGCTTATTAAGACTCGTGTTAATAAGCGACGCATAAAATAAGCAATGTTATAAGATCATGTTTACTTCAAAAGGTTTAAAACACCGTTTAACATTAAAATGTCCACAATAACCATATACATATATAGACATACACAAACATTCATGAACACAAATATATAATATAATATGTGGGGTCGATCACCTCGTACGTGTACCCATACTCCTAACCCCTACCCTGCCCCTATACCTCGTACCCTCACCCTACACCCTACACCCTACACCCAATTCCACACCATTGACCCCTACCTCTACCCATACTCCCCTAAAACCCTTCATACACACCCATACCTACTCGTAGGGGTCGGAGTTAGGGAAGGGTGTAAAATTTTCCACCCATTTCCCATCCATCTAGGTTGGAGTTGGACCATGCTAAAGTACCCATAAATTAAGAAAAATAGTGTATGATTTATATTGCCTTTGTGAAATACTACGTATGAATGATTTTGAGCCCGACCAAATATGTCACTCAATAAACATTAAGAGAAGAACTTGAATGACAAATCATTTTCATTTTCATTTACCTCAGTGTCGTAAAAGCTCCCACCTAAGGTAGAACGTGAATGGCAAATGGGAGAAAAAATGGGGTAGTGGAATATACTACTCAAAAGAATTAAGTAATATTTTCTTTATTTGCAATTCTTGTATTTTTCTTTATGATTGGCAATTAGCATGAATATTTCGTAAAACTTTAACCAAAGAATTCACAAATCCGTTCATCCGTCTAAGGTTGGACCAAGCAAAAATGACACCATTGACACGCAATTTAAGAAAATACGTAGTAAAGTTTAGGCTCTTTGTATTGACGTAAATGATTTTGAGGCACATTAACAACATGAAAGTCATACGAGTATGTTTTTCTTTTTTGATTCTTATTTAGATAATTGTGATACTTTTGTTTTTATTATGTTTTACTCTTACTTTTCCATCGTTCTCTTTAATAGTTTTCCATAATTTTCTCCTACTTTTTAACACTATTATCTACTCTTACTATTTTAATCTTAATTCTTAAAGTTTGTGAATACCCTAATGTAACAAACAAACAAAACAAAGGGAGTGTAAACAAACTTTTCTCTATTTCAAATATGAAAAAACAAAGAAATATACATCTGAATAGCCTCAAAGATATTCCCGGCCCACCATAACATTGATATCTTTTCACTTTCCTTTTCAACCATAACATTATTTTATCATTCCTAAATCTTCTTATCATACCATCAATAATTTGAAATTAATACACTTGTTGAGGTTTATTCCGTCAACCCAAAGGCCCAACACATACCCTTGGATCTCGAGTGGATGATTAAACAATCAAGAGATGAGTCAAAACAGTCGTAGGAAGCGGTTATATCTTACTCCCTCCGTCCCAAAAAGGTTGGCCAAAGTTGACTTTCACGTGGATTAATAAAGTAAAAACTGTGTAGTTGAAATTTGTGTAGAGGAGAGAGAATTAATTTTAGCCACATATTTCTTACTTTAAATGGTAATGAAAAATCTTTTTGGGACATCCAAAAAAAGAAATTTGGCCAACCTTTTCGGGACGGAGAGAGTATTAAATGGCAATAAGGGTTCGTACACAACACACTTCATTACGTACAAACAGTGGTGGACCCAGAAGTTTTCTGAAGCGGGGGCACTCCCACATAGATGAAAATGTGTCGAATAAGGTGTATCATTGGTCTTTTTTGTGAAGTGCATTCAAATTATTATTTTTAACTTGAAATAGATTATTCAATATCGGATTCAAACAATGAACATATATGAATTATAAGTCTAATTTTGAACTCATTAACACAATTCTAAACAATAATATTTGGTTTTTTGAAAGAAACACATAATTTGGATTGGAATTGATTCATCCTTGTGCCGTTTCTAGTTTTACATTAGAATTCTCGTTATTTTTCATACTATAAAATGATCAAGATTTCAGATCTAAACTATGATCATGTCGAATGCTACACATTGTGCCACAAAATTTGTTGGTACTTGTCTGAAATATAATACTATGTTGTTAAAAATAAAGTATAAATCAAGTTTATAATTTCATCCTTTAGTACAACTTTATTTAATAATATGATTCTATATATCTAACTTCTATCATACTATAGATAAAAAAATCGAAGGGTCTGTCCGTTTGAAACAACTTTATGGCGAATTGACACATTTTTTCATGTATGGACATTTTATCAAGATAAAAAGTTTTCAATCTATTAAGTTCATCCCACATATAAGAATTCTTGTCATATACTACGTATTTGACCTTTAACTTTGGATAAACATTATTCACACTAAGTAAAAGAAATCATCAATGCCACTTTTCATAGAACGGGTAGTAATCATATCAGGATTTTCTCCATCACAACTTCATGGTTGTTTATATTTCTTACTAGAATTGTTATATGTCTTCGACGGAGTCCTATATATCTAACAGTTTTTTTGAAATAATGACAATATGATTGAAATAAAGATAGTGGACAAAAATATGACTTAGTAACTACCGTAGTAATTTTAGTGACCATGATTGTGTTAACTCTATCAGTATAGTGACTATGCGTAATAACTATAGTAATATTTTTGTCTATTACTTATATTTTTGTAATACTTATGGAAAAACTCTATTTCTTTTGTTCAGGTAGCGGGGACACAATTTTTATCTTAAGTATTAATACTAAACTTCGGAGTCGGAACTCGGAAGCAGGGGCACTTGCCCCCCAGGCCCCCCTAGGTCCTCCAATGACTACAAAGCCTTGAGGCCGTTCGTCTACTGCTATGCTATGAGCTGATACAAATGTTATTTGCTAAAAGTGTTAAGTTGCCAACCCCTTATAATGAAATAAATGTTGATATTTATACTACCAAGGGTAGGGGTGGATTCGGTTCGGGCCACCCGGCCCGGTCGGGCGGTCCGGGACCGGGTATGGACCCGAACCGGTGGGAATGGGCGGGGCGGGCTCGGTGCTGGATTAATGTGACCCGGCCGGGTCGGGCCCGGGCCCGGGTCCGGTCTTAAGATTTAAAAAAAAATTGGTTCTTGGGCTACTAGCCGTTGGGGGTGGGGCTGGGGACAACCCAAACGGCTATATAGCCGTTGGGTGGGGTAAAGGGGGGGTCCGGGGGGTTGGGTGGTGGTGGGGGGGTGGGGGGTAAAAAAACCTATAAATACTCCTAATCTTAAACATTTTTTCATATCTCTTCTCCAATTCTTCCTAAATCCTATTCTTAACTCTCTACTCTCTAATTCTCTTATTCTCCAATATATTATATTTATTATTTATATATCTACTTTATAGTTTATACTTAAGAAGTTAAGATGGAAAATCAAGATGCCATTATACGGTATAATTTTGATAAGCAGAAGGACCCGAAGACCGGGATGTGGTACGCAATTTGCAAATGGTGCGAGAAAAAATGTAGCATGGGGGTTTCAGGCGGATTCGGGATGGCAATCAAGCATATGAAGTCATGTGACAAAGCCAAAGGATCGGGAGGTGCGAGAAGTTCCGATTGATTACAATTTTCAAAATGTTTATCTCTTAAAGTTTGTTTTAATTTTCAAATGTAGTTCCTATTTCATTTCAAATAAATGCAATTGAAGTTTGTTTTTAATACTCGTATAAAACTATAAACTATAAAATATAAATTATATAAAAAAAAAATTAACCGGCCAGGCCCGAACCGGACCCGTGACCCGGGCGGGTGGCCCGGCCCGAACCGGACCCGTCCAACCCTCGGGCCGGTCCCGGGCCCATGTCATATAACCCGGCGGCCCGACCGGGCCCGACCGGGCCTAGGCCCGGCCCGGGCCCGACCCGGCCTGAGTCCATCAATAACCAAGGGGTAGGTAGTGTTGCTGGCGTGGAGGATTGTGGATGGTTAGCTCTCAACCACCAAATTTGCTGCATTTAATGTTGTTCCCGCCTGTATCTTGGTTTCCCGCCATAACATCGGCCGAGCGTCCTAATGAGCCAAGTTGGGGGATCCTTGACGGACCAAGGATGAGCCTCCATTCGTATTCGCTGGGCGCAGATGAGCATCCTCCCTACGACCAGCTTGGGTTCTGTGGTGTAAAAGGGTGTGGGTCCATACGGCCCATACTAAATCCTTTGGCCGACGGCCCTATAATGTTATCTGGCCTGTGTTAGACAAAAAGGCCTCTGAAGACTGAAGCCGATCGTCTACCGATTTGGGCCCGGATGACCTCAAGGTCCAAAGGGCAATGAGCCGATCTGTATTGAACCCATTAACCCAACAACACTACTACAGTTACTTTTTTTTGGATTTATCTTTATTTCCAGAATATTATTTCATTATCTTCTTATCATACTCTCAATAATTTATATTTTCTTTCATCTACTTTAAAAGAGAATATATGAATGTCATAGAGGTAGTAATATATATCCCAAACTTTTTATTCAAATTATTAAACACAAAAGGCTTCATTTATAACATACGTACGGATGTACCATTATCTTAAAAATGTCAAAATAATTTTTAGATATATCAGTGGTATTTTTAAATCTTGAGAAGTACTATGTGTACCTTTCTCGTTTAAAAACATTATTTAACATTTTCAATTAAAATTCTTGTTATACACGCTAAATCCAGACACACGTCTCCGTGAGAGTATTTTTATATCTTCAAATACATTGTTTACTCCGTGAATAGTGTATTCACAAACAAAAAGTACCATCACAGACGACGTGTATAAGACACATGGATTTGGATGTGTACAATTTTTTGTTTTTGTTTTTTTTAAACAAGGGTATTCTACGAGTTGATAAGGTCCTTTTTGGAACATTTCTCTTTTAAAAACATTATTTAACATTCTTTCTTTTAAAATCATTGAAAAGTACTAGGAGCCTACTATCGGCAATTCAAATTAATCTTTAAAGTCTTTTTGTACATAATTATTTTAAAAAGTGTAGGGACATATCACATATCCTTTAACATACTACGTACTCCCTCCGTCTCAAAATGATAATCCCGTATTTCTTTTTTGGAATGTCCCAAAATGATAGTCATGTTTCCCTTTTTGGAAAGAAAGATATGATTCATATCATTTCACTTTATTATACTTAAATCTCAACTACAACTTTTACCTTTTCAACCACTTTATTAAAATTTGTGCCCAAAAGAAATGAGACTATCAAATTGGGACGGAGGGAGTACAAATTAGAGGGCGGTTCTTACTCCTTTTACAATTGTTGTAATAATGTAACTCATGTATTTGTTGCACGATGTCTACTATGCACAATTACCATGAGAGGATGCGCACAAATTGATTCATCTTTCATGATATGATGATAGTATTAAACATTTATAGTTTTTATATACTCCCTGTATATGGTGCAACTATCTGTGTATGGTGTAAATTGAACTCTTTATGTTGAAACTTGGAAGCATATCAGCATATGGATAATACTTTTATTTCCCATTGAAATGATTATTGGAAGTTCTATTTTATTATGAGATTCACGTGCAATGTCCCTGATTATGACTTTGATGGATTTTTAAAAGATCATGAATTTTGAAATCCAATGGAAGTCTACAGGATTGTAGCAGATTGTTTTTGTATATAGAAATCCATCGAAATCCATTAAAATCCGTGCAAATAAGTAATAATAGAAATCCACGTAATATTTGAGGACACACTTATTTTCATGGATTCCATAGAAATCCAAATTGGGGACATCTGAATTCTGACGGAATTCCAAACTCCATTAAAATCTTCCAGAATCCGAATCGGGAGGAATTCAAGTTCTAGCAACGACTGTCAAGACCAATAAATTGTGTTCATAGTCAGCATTCACCGCTTCTCCTACTTCACAACGCGTTGATAGGCATAAGGCATAACCCATTTGCACTATGCAGGGAGATGCAATTCATCAAGAAGAATACTAGCCATTATGTAGTCAAGACAGATGCCATAACAGAAAAACATGGAAAATATAACATAAGTTGTTGATAATGGTCATTTTAGCCTTTTTACATATTATTTTTTCATAATTCAGCAGATTCAATCAATTGCCTTCAAAGAATGTTGATGCTCCAATCAATCAAGAACATATAGAAGACTTGTATTTATTCTTTCTTCAGAAAAGTCCGAAACAAATTTGGATATCAAGCAGAGGAGAGTGCAACTAAGGCACGACAGGATTGACTCCTGTCAATCAATAACAAATAAATGATCAATCACAAAAAATATAAACTGAAAGGGTAACAAAGAGGCACATACTATTCCAATGAGCTGATCAACTCCTTAAAGTCGAAGACCAGCCAATCAGCTTTGACTGCAACAGATTCTCGAAGGTGAACTCCACCGTAGCAGATATACAAGTCTGCACCTCCAGGCTGACGAGCCTGTAACCCATTTCAAATTTGTTGCATGATCAGCAAAGCAGGCAAGGGTGTGGCGGGAGTTATTGTATTGTCTGTCGCTCTCAAGACACGTTTGAAAATAAAAAAATGCAGGAGAAGAAAATAGGGGAGCTTTTAAATGAATGAAAACTTATACTTAGTATGTTTTAGCTGGATTAAAAATTTCTAGTCTGGTTTGTTTGAGTCTGGTTTGGTATGATTTGTTCCGGTCTGGTAAACGTTTAATGTGTGTGTATTTTACTACTACCTCTGTTCTTAAATAAGTGCCACATGTTGAATTTTACACTATTCACATGTTTTGTTTTGATTACCTTTTATTTATTAATTAAAAATAAATTATTTTTTAAAGAAATATTGTTAAATTTGTCTCATCGTAAATTTCCAAAATCTGGGTTTTATTTATTTTTACCAATAGAGAATTAAATATACTGATCATCAAAGTTGTGCATCGATAAACGTGAAAAGTGGATTGTTGCACTTATTTAACAACATATGGTCTAGACTTTTTAAAAATATTTTTAATGGGACTGAAATTTTCTAGGTCTAATAAATATCTGTTTGATGTGTAATTTACTATTGTCTAATCCTGATTTGGTCTGGCACTAAAATCAATTCAACTATAAACATCCTTAGTCTGCTTTGATCTGACTTGGTTAGTTGAAGTGGTCTGATCAGGTTTGGGATCGAAACAACAACAACAACATCCGAGCTTTAATCCCAAAAGAATTTGGGGTCGGCTAACATGAATTGATCTATGATATAGATGCCAAACAGAGAAGACAGACAAGAAAGGGAAGAAAAAAAGTAAGATAAAACGAATAAAATAAAGAAATATATATATAAGATAACATAATTCAGAAGGACGGTGAGATAGATGGAGATGTATCCCATAGAATCAGAACAGGGTGGATGAAGTGGAAGAGTGCGTCAGGATTTCTATGCGACCGAGGTATCCCATAGACTGAAGGGTAAATTTTATAGGACAGCAATTAGACCTGCATTACTGTATGGCGTACAGTGTTGGGCGGTGAAACAATGTCACATTCAAAAGATGAGTGTGGTAGAGATGCGCATGCTGCGTTGGATGTGTGGGCATACTAAGAAGGACCGCGTGAGGAATGAGATAATCAGACAAAGGGTGGGAGTAGCACCTATTGAAGACAAGATGCGGGAGTCGCGCCTACGGTGGTTTGGTCATGTGCGTAGAAAACCGAGTGATGCACCTATCAGACGAGTTGAGATGTGTGGAGAAGAGGCAGGGAAGAGAGGGAGAGGAAGACCCAAACAGACGTGGGTTAGGGGAGTTCGAAGTGATATGCTTCTTCTGGGGTTAGATGAGGGCATGACTTTGGAGAGAACTAAGTGGAGGGCGGGTATTCGCGTGAAGGAGTGATCTCATATCATTTTTTCCCTCATCTTTTTTTCCTTGTTTTTTATCCTTATATATATAAGCATTATTTGTAGCCTTTTTATTTTATCATTTTTATGTATATTCATCTCTTTTTATATTATCTTTTTATAATAACTTATCTTTTTTATCTTTATTTTCTTTCTTTTCCTTTTGGTTGTGATATCATGTATCGATTCATGTTAGCCGACCCCAATATCTTTTGGGACTAAGGCTTGGATGTTGTTGTTGTATATATAAGATAACAATAACACAAGAATATAAGAAAGATAAAATATAAAAAATAAAAGAGCATAAAAAAGCTAAAAGATAAAAATAACATTTTATATAAAAAGATAAAGAAGATAAACGATAAAAGAGAAAAAAGAGGAAAGGTAGAAAAGACATCAATCGTTCACACGGATGTGCGTCCTCCACTTTGCTCTATCCAAAGTCATACTCTTATCCAACCCAAGAAGACACATATCAGTTCTGATTCCTCTAATCCAAGCATGTTTGGGTCTTCCGCTCTCTCTCTTCTCTGCCGCTTCTCCCCACCCCTCAAGTCGTCTAACGGGTGCATCACTCGGTCTTCTATGCACATGCCCAAACCACCGCAAACAAGACTCTTGCATCTTATCTTTTATAGGTGCTACTCCCACTTTTTGTCTGATTATCTCATTTTTCAAGCGGTCTTTTCTGATATGTCCACACATCCAACGCAACATACGCATCTCTGTCACACTCATCTTTTGAATGTGGCATTGTTTCACCACCCAACACTCTACGCCATACATTAATGCATGTCTAATTGTTGTTCAATAAAATTTACCTTTCAGTCTAGTCGACATACCTCGATCGCATAGAAATCTTGAAGCACTCTTCCATTTCATCCATCCAGCTCTGATTCTATGGCATACATCTCCATCTAATTCACCATCCTTCTGAATTATGGAGCCCATTGTTGTTCAACACTCTGTGGCATACCTCTATTTTCGTCTCCAATGTTTGTTGCCATACTTCCAACTTTGCTTTAACACCGGATTGTGTCTCAATCAATACAATATCGTCGGCAAACATCATGCACCACGGTATATCTTCTTGAATTGACTTCGTAAGTTCATCCATGACTAGCAAATAAGAAAGGACTCAGAGCAGATCCTTGGTGCACTCCGATAGTAATAGGGAACTTTGCGGTCCTCCCTACACTAGTGCGGACATTTGTAGTACAAGCATCATACATATCCATGATGATAATGATATACTTACGTGATATGCCTTTTGGAGTTAAGGCCCACCAAAGGACTTCTCGAGGTACCCTATCATATGCCTTTTCTAAGTCAATGAACACCAAATGCAGATCCTTTTTGGTGTATCTATACTTCTCCACAACTTGTCTAAGAAGAAGAATGGCCTCAGTCGTTGAGCATCCAGGCATAAAACCAAATTGATTCTCTGAAATTTTCACACTTTTATGAAGTCTTTGATCAATCACTCGCTCCCAAAGTTTCATAGTGTGACTCATAAGCTTAATCCCTCGATAGTTAGCACATTCTTGTACATCACCCTTATTTTTAAATAAGGGAATGAGGGTACTCTTCCGCCAACTCACTGACATTTGTTGTTTCTCCAAATCACGTTGAAGAAACGTGTTAGTCATTAGATGCCTTTCTCTCCCAAACTTCTCCAAGCCTCGATTGGTATGCCATTTGGGCCCACTGCTTTCTTCCGCCCCATTTTTCTTATAGCCTCCTTAACTTCTATTGTTTGAATCCTTCTCACGAAATCCTGATTTACCATACACTCTGCTATAGTAAGATCATCAATACCTTGTACTCTATTCCCGTTGAACAAGGTATCAAAGTATGACCTCCACCTCTCTTTTATTTCTCTTCGTGTCCTCCATCAGTACCCTTTGATCGACATCCTTCACACACTTAACTTTTCTGATATCTTGAGTCATACGGTCACGAAGGCGAGCAAGTCTGTAGATATCTTTTTCTCCTTCCTTAGAGTCCAATTTTACATACAATTCCTTGTTCACTTTTACTCTGGCTTCCTTCACAGCTTTCTTTGCTCCTTGTACTTCTCTACGTTCTCGTCGCTCCAACTTTTGCCCAATTTCTTATAGCATTCCCTTTTGGTCCTTATTGCTTGTCTCACCTCATCATTCCACCAAGACGTGTCCTTTTTTGGTGGCAGACATCCTTTAGATTTTCCGAGTATCTCCTTCGCCACTTTGTTAATGGTGGACTCCATTGATAACCACACATCATCAACATGTGCGTCATTATCAATAGACCATACATCTTCCTCCAACATTTTGTGTGCAAAACTTTGTTGGAGATTCCCCTCGAGCCTCCACCATTTTATCTTTGGCTCCCCTTGTACCTTAACTCGTGACTCGTCTCTTCTTTTTACCTTGAAAATCAAGCACAAGCATCCTATGATGGGTCATGGGTGACAGCACTCACCCGGGATAACCTTACAATCAGTGTAGCTAGTTCTCCAAGTCGTCCGTACTAGAAAGTAGTCAATTTGGGTACTATTAGCTCCACTTCTATAGGCGACAAGGGGAGAGTCTCCTTTCTCGAACCAAATGTTCATCACAGCCAACTCATATGTCGAGGCAAAATCCAGAATGTTCTTCTCCGCTTTATTTCTAGTGCCAAAACCATGTCCGTCATGGATACTCTCAAAACCATCACGACTTAGGCCCACATGCCCGTTGAGGTCGCCTCCTTTGACCAGCTTCTCTCCCCTTGGCACTCGTCGCACCACTTCCTCAAGATCCTCCCAAAATTGTTGAGTGATAGATGCATCTAATCCCACTTGTGGTGCATAGGCACTTAACACGGACACGATCTCATCTCCTATTATCAACTTAATGCTCATGATGCGATCGTTCTTCCTAAAGACTTCAACCACACCCTTAACATAATCATGTGCCACCATAATGCCTACTCCATTTATGTTCCTCTCTCTCCCCGAGTACCACAGCTTAAAACCTCCGGGATTAATCTCACGTGCCTTTTCTCCAACCCACTTAGTTTCTTGCATGCACATTATGCTGATATTCCTCCTCTTCATTACCTCAGCTATCTCAGATGAACTTCCCGTAAGAGAGCCAACATTCCATGTCCCAAAACGCAATCTAGCACCCTGACTTCTCTTCTTCACACCACATCGACCCCTATCATGCCCTTGCATATTTGACACCATCCCCGGGCATTGGAGTGGTGCGTCGCTTTCGGGCGACGACCTAGTTGCCTTAACATTCTTATCACCACATCCAGGCCTATGAAGTGTAGCGCGCCCTTGCTCATTTGACATCACCCCAGACGGGGCTTACGGGCGACGACCTAGCTGTAACAATATTCATATTTCGATTCATGTGATGTGATGTGACTAAGTGATACTGTTGGCCGTCACGCGCCTACCACAACACCCTCATCCTTTATCCTGGCTTGGGACAGGCATGATACCAAAAAATGATCTCATGACGGAGTTTCTGGGATCGAAACAATCCAATAAAAAGCATCTTGGGGAAAATAAAAGCATTGGTTCAAACTCAACAAATTTATTTCTGACATCAAGACTAAGAGATCAAAAATAATTTAAAAAAGATTAAAAACATTACTAATTTTCTTTAGCATTTTCCGAAGTGAAGCCAAACACAATAAAATAATTTTCTTTAGCATATATTTTTAGGTTCACTAGCATTTCCCAAGATCCAAACATACCCTCAATGTGACAATGAACGTGGAGAGATGGTTTCTTACCTCAAGGTCTGTAGCACCATCACCAATCATGACTAGTGACTTGTATCCATGATCCTAAAGGACATCTTAAACTTCATGTTTATGCTCCAAAAGGAATACCAATGGAAAAATATAATGTGATTATCATTACCACTAACCTTTCGTATCTGCCGAACTGCAGTGGCTTTCCCACCACTCCTTGAAGTGAGCTCATTTTTGTCAAACCCAATAAATTTCCCGGAACTTTCAAATAGAAGTTCATTGGCAAAAATGTTTTTACTTGGTATTCCAAGGATGGAAGCAACAGGCTGGGAGGATTTGGTTAAAGTTAGGAAATCAGAATATCAGAATATCAATTACAAGTTGAATACTGCATTAAAAAAGTGTACCTTTTGCATTAAGGTAACAGAAAAATGTGAACAACAGTGCATGATGATATAGCATGAGAAAAGTAGTCTTTAGCATTTGATATAGAATGATTAACCATTAACCATATAAAACTGTGATAGATAACTCACAGAATAGTAAAGAAACTTTAAAATCTATCAAGAAGTATTCAAAGCTTCAGATTTCATTAATGGTGGATTACAACTGAAAATACAGAAAAGTAATGAGACTGTTAGAGAGGTCTCAATCTCAGACGGTAGTTTGATTTTGTAATGCAAAATTAAAATGTCACTGCAATTCACATGTCACTGCAGTGCAAAATGTCACTGCAGTTCACATGTCTGACAATATTGTTATATGCTTTGATTAGACTAAAAAGAAATAGATACATCAACTACAAATTGAAACATGTCCCATCCAAGCTATAGCTTGACTTACATTGATCATTTGACGAAACCCTCCAGAAATAAGATAAATTTCCCTTTTTCTATTCTTCAGTAGGCTGACCAATTCATCAATCCCAGGAGACAACCTAGATAAAAGAAAATCTGAAAGACTAAATCACATAAAAGTACATTCGAAACACAATGATGAAAGATAACAAGCTTCCTAAACAGCCAATTGACTCATATAAGTTATTTCAAATCAGAGCTAACATGACAAAATCACACCAAGACCCTAAGTATCCTTCAGATAGACAATTGAGAGAGATGACCTGAACAGAAGTCAAGGAAATGTATACAAGCAACTGGCAAGCTGCATTTGGAATACTGTACCTTATTCAAAATATTGTTGCACACAACTTTTGTCGAGTTGTCTTATTTAAGATGCCATATTTATGACTCCAAATTTTGCAATTTCTATTACTCCGTATAAGCTTTCATTTTGCACTTCAACCTCATTTAGTACGCGTGAAAGTTGCTTAAAATGTGTTTCTCCTTAATTGTGGTTGATGAACATGATGTAATCCATAATCTTTTGAAATTAATCATTTTAGATCACAGACTTGATGTAAACTTGCTTTCTTGATTTCTCCTACCTATACTGAAAATACACTTGCAAAATAGCAATTAAAAGTTAATACTTAAATTTTAAATATAAGACTAAGAGTTATAGTTGATGGGCCCTTTCCATGTTGTAGTAAATGTGCTGTGGTACGAAAAAATTGATTATTTCCCCATACACTAAAAAAGTAAACAATTTTATGAAATAAAAAGCAGGAAAAGCTCAGATATCAGAGGTTTACAGCATGGTTTGTAATTGCGCAATGCAATACCGCCTTATGGGGCACCTCAGCACTTTCCTGGAGTATGGCGTAATATTTCATTGCTTATGGGGAAGGTGGTCATGGCGTACGAGCTATTGCGCAGAGGCGTGTGCAATCTGACCTACGCCTTAAGGCAGTCTGAGGCGTACGGCGTATGTTGAGGTCTGTAATTGATTTTTCTGCCCACTGGGTCACACTTTTAATAATAAACCTATCTAGGCATACGCAATATGCTAGGCAGCGATAAGCATGGTCCCGTCTTATTCATCTTCCGCGATAACAAGCTTCTCTGCTCGTACTCTTCATCTTTCTTCCTAGTCTTGTCATGTGACTTCAAGCTTCTCTGCAACCATGGTTTGTTTACTTTTTACTAAAGATATTATAGACCCGAATTATACATCCACTTTAAATAATCTGATATTGTTCCACACTTCCATGTCTAATCTTATTTCCTATTTTGTATTAACTTCATGTAAATATTAATTTGCTTCAACTTTTAATATGTTCTGCAAATTAGTATTTTATTATTTTCCATGGGTTAAGTTTCAGAATATTAATATGCTGTTTCAGTTTTAATATTTAATGTTAATTTCAACTTTAATATTAATATTTAGTGTTCTATTTAATTTAATACTCCCTCCGTTCCTATTAAAACTTCCAAATAGGTTTGGCACACAGTTTAAGATAGTGGGTATTGTGTGGTGGAGAGTTGTGCAGAGGAGAGAGAAATGTGTAAGAAATGTTGTGAACCACAAATTTTATACTAAAAAGGGAAAGTGGAAGTTTTAATTGGAACGAACGAAAAAGGAAAGTTGGAAGTTTATTTAGGAACGGAGGGAGTACTAATTTTTAATGTTCATTTTCTGTTAATATTAATTTTCTTCAACTTTTAATATTTTCTGTATATTACTCCCTCCGTCCCTCTTATATTGTCCCATTTTACCTTTTCGGGAAGTCCCACTAAAATTGTCTCATACCATATTTGGTAAAGTTTGTGTGGTTCCAAATCATTCTTACTTTATTCTTACTTTATCAATTAATATCAACCACACAACCCGACTTTTCTTAATAATCGTGCCACTCTCTTCCGACCCACTATAAGAGGGACGGAGGTAGTAGTTTTTTACTTTATGCCATCAACTAAGTTTTTGCATTTTACGTTGTTCTATGACTTCTATCAGTTTTATATTTAATGTTGATTTTAACTTTAATGATAATATTAAGTGTTCTATTTGTTTAGTACTCCGTACTAAATATTAATATTAATTTTCTGTTAATACTAGAGTTAATATGAAACAGAGTATACAGTTAGATTAGATGAGGATAATAATAATATTATTATATTTGATGACCACTAATGAATAATTTATTTTATTTTTATTGCGTTTACATACACACACATGCATATACATTTTTTACGCCTCAGCCATACGCCTCATTGCGCAATGAGACTTACGCAATATGCAATTCTAAAAAACGCCACGACTACGCAATACGCAATGTCAAACCTCAGTTTACAGTATTGTATCATATCATATCACGAAGTACAATTTAGATGACAATATTCCTGGGAACCTCGTAGTAACTGTGGCAGCCATTCTAGACACAGAAATACTTGATTGTATGTTCCAAGAAGTTTCAACACATGTCCTAGTATTACTGAAGAAGACCAGAACTAGATAGAAAACACTAATAGACAAATTAATCATTGAATTGATGTGGAGTATTTTCTGTTAGTCTGCCAGTCTGATTCCATGGAGACATACTTTTTCTTTAATTTTCCATGAGCATCTTTTTTATGTTGTACTCATAAAGTTCTCTTTGATATAGCTTATTTCCTTAACAATTTTACAGGCCCATTATTGTTTTTGCTGGTTGGTTTAGTACATGGATTTACGCCTAAAGAAAGTTTTGCCTCTCAAGTCTAAACTATGTTTGACATCTTGATATACACAGAGAACAACACAGGGGATGTCACTGTAGATAGATATATACTCAGTTACTCATATACGCCATGTACCTTGGAGGCTTCTTCTCTAAGAAACTTTGAACTTGTGACAACGAAGGGTTGAATAGAGATAACCTGGCAGCCAAGGCTTCCTCAAAGGGAACAGACCCACTCATTGCCCTAGCAAAGCCAATAAGAAAATAAAAACGGTAGGATTTGAAGCACTGAATGTACACATACAAACAATTCTCATCCCAAAAATAAACATCAAACCTAGCAGTCCAATCTGCTACAGCTTTCCCAGCTCCACAGAATTCAGCAAGTTCATCTATGCCCTCATCTATACAAACTGTGCTATCCACATCAAAGCACACAGCATTTGCATTCTGCCAAATATCAAGCACCTCTTGCAATAGTAAGCAAAGCACCATTCAGAACTAGGCAAGATTCACAATATTATAAGTAGCAGATATAAAAAGAGACAAATTAGCTCATCTAAGGCCAGTAAGTTTATAATCCTTCGCTTCCATTTTATGAGTGCAGCCGTGCAGGAGATTAATAAGGTAACAAAAAGTTGCAAATTATTGGAATCAAATAGGATTACTAGCTTAATATATTCCCAAGTCCCAACTATATGAAATTCACAAATCTATCATGTTATTTATCTTTATTAAAAAAAGTCTCAAATTTCATTTTTTAACAACTATACTTTTCCTTCATGGTTTTTTAAAATTAAAATTTATATCAACTTTTATACTTTTCATATACTTGTATTCAATTTATATTGTTTATTTAATATTTTAGTTTATTCTTTTCATGTTTTAACAAGAACTGAAATCAAATCATGAAAATGTTATCTTACTCATTAATTTGTAACTGATTTTTTAAAGAACTATCAAGAACTAATATAACATGATACTCTAACAATTGCATTACTTAACCAACCCGTACAATTGTATTTTTTAATAGAAGGTGCTGAAGTAATTTGAGCACTAATCTTTGGTAAAACTAATTTGTTAATAGAAAACTTTAAACTCTTTTTCTACTGTCGTACGTGGCACTTTTATCCAGTTGTGTGTGACACTTTTATCTTTCTAGTTGTATTTCAGATGTTTTGCACCATACTTTGATTGCACCATACTACATGCTATTTTCTCCATACCAAAAAAAATAAAAGATCATGTTTTTAAACTGAAACTAGAGAGAAGTGGGAAATTTATGAAATAGAAATAAGTATTTTTCCTTAAATATTACTCCCTCCATACAAAAATTGGTCCTGTATTTCCTAACTGATTTGTCCCAAAATGATAGTCATGTTACCATTTTTTGTAAAGAAACTAAAGTAGATTAACATTTTCATTTATACCCTCCCTCATTAATGAAAAAAGAGTGAAGCAGTGAAAAGTAAAATAAAGCAAGGGTTTATGCCTTTATGGGACATTTAACATATTTAACATACTTTCTTAATATTTGAACCCAAAAAATATAGAACCATCATTTTAGGATGGAGGGAGTACTATTTATTCCATTCAAAGTACAATTGTTAAAAAAGGTTGAAATTTGAGTCTTTCTTTGATAAAAGCTAGAATAGGATGTATTTGTGAATTTACTCAATTCAATGATAGTTGGGAATATATGAAGCTATTAATCCGATCAAATATATTTACTATTCAAGCCCGCCTAAGAAACAATCAATATTTCCACTTGAGCACTCGGATGACCAAGAAAACTAACACCGATTTCAATGTAATAAACAAACTTGGACCATACATCTACCTTTAGATGGTAATATATTGCCAAAACTGGGTTTTTGTGAGGCTTCAATAGGCCGGATTGAAGCTAAAACCGAAATCTCAGACTTGGGATTTTGACTCATCCAAGTTGATTTCCAATAAACACTTCTCGAGACTATTGGAGTAAATGCAGAAACGAAACCATGATTCTTTTGCTTATAAAATGCTCTGATGGGGTTGATCTGCAAAGTCCTCGACCCATCCATTACAATTGTCTGATATCCAAATCAGGAAATCACCACACATAAACGTCCAAATAACAATAAATCTTGAAATGTATTGATGCATTTCATTCATGAAACTCGAAAGTCAAACAACTAATGCAACAAAAACAAAAACAAACATTAAAACTATTATTAACTTCTACGAAAAGCACAGACATGCACTAGCGGAACCAGCATGGGTGACTTGGGGGGCACATTAGCACATAAATCATACTCCCTCCGTCCCGAAAAGGTTGGCCAAATTTCCTTTTTTGGATGTCCCAAAAAGATTTGTCATTTCCATTTAAAGTAAGGAATATGTGGGTAAAATTAATTCTATCTCCTCTGCACAAATTTCAACCACACAGTTTTTACTTTATTAATCCACGTTAAAGTCAACTTTGGCCAACCTTTTCGGGACGGAGGGAGTATATCATGAATATAGTAATAAACAAAAAATAACATTTAAATAAAAAACTAATTACAGAATACCTTAATGTTGATTAGAAACTGATGCGTCAAATTTTAGGAGAGGTTAGTTGAACATTCCCGGGAACGTTTGAGTTCATTACCGTATTTAGTAAAATTTGGAAAATGATCTCTTAAACTCTGAAATGATCTCCTACGCCCACCAAAATCAGTTTGTGGAAAATTTAACTCACGTGGTTGACAAGGGCCTTTTGTAAAATAACTTATCCTAAACTCTTCTCTAATATTAACATCATTACTGTCAATCGGCCCAGGATCACCAACAATGTCATCATCCTAAAATTCAACTTATATTTGAGGCTTTTTAACATTATTTTCATTGTTAGGAATGACATTATCTGATGAAGAAATTAAATTATTCGTGTATAAAATCTTAACATACTGATTGTTTGTCAAACAACCAAAAGACTACGATTGAAATAATATTAGTATAATTGTAAAAAATAGATTATAACAAACTGAATCAACAAATCCAAAATTAAAATACAATTAACACTTTCAATGAGATTATGAGAATTGAGTTGCAAAAAATCAACAATCTATAAAAAGAAAAGAAAAGTTAGATTAAGCCGCAGAGCGGCTTACCTGCAAGATGGAGATGGCAGCACCAGAGATTCAGTCTGAAATTGGAAGAAGGGCCGAGGGTGGTAGCCAACTCGCAGTCCGTCAGTTCGTCGTCGTTGGGTTGCCCGTTGCCGTCTTGATTCCCTTCTTTCCCGTGCTTGATTGTGTTTAGCATAAGCTGTTTGGTTCCTCTGATTCTTACGCCGTACTTTATTACTGGTAGTTTATTTAGATCGGGAGTGGCGTACTTTAACCCACGGTTAAGCACAGTTATTTTTTGGAATTATTTTAAACCCACCGGTATTTTGTGAATTATTTATTTAATTAGCATTATTTCGAGAAAAAACTAATTATTATTATTAGTTATATTTATATTATAACTATAGGTCTATAGCTATAATTATAATCATAGCTATAATTATAATTATATTTTTCCCTTTTTTTTACTCCGGGGTCTGAGGAGGGGGGCTGGGGGAGCCTGGAGTAATGAGGGCTAAAACTAACTCCATTTATTTTCAAACTCATATGTGTCTAGCGTGTTTCGAACTAGATTGTAATTGTAATTATAGTTATAATTAAAATTATAATTATATCGATAATTGTAATTGTAATTATAATTATTGTTGGGAATATTTTATGGTGTCCAATCTATTTAAATATCTTTGTATTTGTGTAGTTATTAATTAAATGTGTAATATGAGCCACAAATGTATACCAGCCCATTAGATTCTTTGTAATCTAACTTATGGAAAACCTAAAGAAGTAGGGCTTTGAGAGAATAGAGGCGAGATAGAGAGATTAGGTTTTACGCTGCTCTCCTTCTCGAGGGAGAGCACCGGTCACTCCACGAGTCCACGGTATACTAGATTGTTAGAAACTGGGACTAACCAGTGGTATCAGAGCCGAGGCGTGAAAAAAGTTGAAATATTTGCGATATTTCAGATCTAACGAAGAACTGTTCTGCTTTTCTTCTGATTTTCTTTGATATAGAAATTTGCTTCTGTAATCTTGTTTGTGAACGAAAATCTGTAAAAATTATAATGTTGGAATCGTCATTTCATAACGATTCTACAACATATCTTATTTTTCGATTTCGATGATTTTTTATTTTCGAAGATCTCTATATTGTAATATCGAAATCTTTGATTCTCGAGGTTACAGGAAGGTTTTCGACTTGGTTTTGTTACAGGAAGAATCTCGAGATCAAGTACTTCTCATAACAGGGCTTAAAATTGAAAAACTCGAAATTTTCAATTTCGTAGATCTCTACATTTGGGATCTCGAGATTCTGGTTTTTAAATGACAGGAAAGATTTCGATGTTTTGAAGATTTAGACATTTTAGGAATTTCTTGATGTTTTGAATCTTTCAAAATTTGGAGTTTCTTGAAACTCAGAATTGTTCGAAGCTTGATATTTTTTGTTCAGAACATTTTGAAGCTTAAATTGTAGGATTTTTGGATGAATCTCTACTTATCAAATTTTTAGAAGTTTTCGATGTTCTGATGTTTTTCAAACAACATGTTCTCGATATTCTGAGGTTTTCGAAACTCCAAAGTTTTCGATGTTCCAAACATTTTGAAATTCTGAACATTTTGAAGTCTCGAGGTTTTGTTTTGCAGGTGGATTTCGACATTATTCTTCGAGGCAAACTCAAGATTAAGATCTCGATGTTTAAACCTCGAGATTAGGATTTCGAGGTTTTGCCTTAGAATTTTCTCTAATTCCACCTGTTCTCGATATTCAACATCGAGAACCTCAACTTTGAAGAATTTCCTCAAATGTCTCAAAAATTCGAAGTTTTCAGCGACATCGCACTGTTTTGGTCATAACTTTTGACTCGGTGATCCGATTTAGGCGTATAATATGTCGTTGGAACGCTAACAAAAAGATATACATGAATTCTCAGGGTTTACCCCAGAACCCCCAACTAAGCGCCCTCACCCGCGGTTCTTGAGGGAGACATCGTTTGCTTTCCGACAAACATTGTAAATCACCAATGTCAAGGTCAAAACTTAAGCAAATCTATTCAAATTTTTCCCAAGTCAAACCTAAAGTCAAAGCTTTTCTAAACTACACCACAGAGGTCCGGAAATCGTAGATAATTCAATCAACCTTGCGTCAACGGTCACATTACGACAATCAACAATCAACTACTGAAGCCTCCCCTAACTCATCAACATTGTGTGATCATCAATATGCTGAAATTCTAAATGATGAGCTTAGGGAAACCGTCATGTGTGGTACCTGTTCAGATTGCTCCACACATATGGCGAGTATGACAAGCTGTGAGCAATCAAACCTTGCACATTTTGAGGGGAGTTTCAGTTTTCTCCTCCTGACGCCTTACACCGACAAAGCAAGGAATCTCTCAAAGGATGCAACATTTTGGGGGGGTCAATGATCTCCTCCCTGATGCCTAACAATGACAAAGCATACCGAGTGCTCGAGTTGAGGGGGAGTACAAAGAGAGAAAAAAAAGAGAACATGTCCCTATGGCTTAAGTAAACCCAATTAAGCCTACCCAAGTGACAAAGCCGAGAGTAAGTGACTGAGTGAACATTATGAGCGTTAGGAAGCAGAAGGCTCAAGTGAGAAAGAAAACAATAATCAATGATAAGTATGCTACCTCAATTGCCTGCTATCAATTGAACATTTACTCCTAGCCACTCAAATACTCTGGACTATCCCCATATGTATATGACTGATTTAATCAGATCTCGAGTAGAAGTCACTACATCTTGTCCAACAATGCATGCTTAACCCTACCCTAGACCACTCATTTATCTCCCAACAGACAAGTGTTTAATCACATTTCACGGGGAACCTCACCTCTCATTACTGTCCCCTTCCGAGGCAAGTGATACTGACTACAATGGCCTCAGCCCCATGCCAGTGAACTTTCATTGATCACGTCGTGTCTAGTTACCTCACTCCCAAATGTTTTGAATTTTCAAGGACACAAACGCACTTTTAGAGTCACTTGCAGGTCTTCATGACCCGCGAGAACTTCCATAGGGCTCATCTATTACAGATGTAGATCAATGATTGGAAGGAAGTTCTGCTGTTGCAACATAGAAATCTCCAACATGTTCAGACCATCGCTTCAGAATTTGTCTCTATAGTGATGATAACGGGCATCTACATGACCCCGGGGGGGCTACGCTAACTTTGTTTATCTTTATGATCATGCCATAACAACCAGAGTGACATCTACTTTAGATGTTTCACAATAATTGGTTGGAAGTCTTGTTAAAGCTTTAACGTTTCTATCATTTTATACAGGCCACACATCGGTGTTTACAGTGATGTTGTGTTAACGGGACACCTCAGTGTATCCGGTTTTATCTTTTTAACTTTTTGTTTGTTTTTTCTATTTTGCATCCCAGAATAAAAGAATAAAGGCATGACGCCCCGATTCATCGGATCTTCATGAGGGAGAGAGTGGGTCCACATGTTGTTAACTCTCAACAAATCATTCTGGGACATTTCTCTTCTTCAACAAATCCTATTCTATCTTTACACCTCAAATGGACAGCTACGCTAACAAGTCAACCATAATTTTCCGTTGTGCCACCAACAAGGTCTCCTCAAAAGCATTCATTTCAAATAGTCAAAAAAGACTACATTGTGGAGGAGAGAGAGGTCAAATACTCGTGTACTGAAGATGAATTTTGTGCGTGCCTGAAAATTATCAGAACATTCATTCTAAAGGCGCTTTCGGACTTCATTCAAGCTGGACAAGAGCTACGCTTGGAAGGCAAGAATTACAAGCAAAAGATTCCTCAACTTCCGGCATCAAAGATCAAATTGAAAAGAAGACATCAAAGGGGAGATTGCAGGGATTTCTTCATAAAGCCATCTCAAGAAGTCAAGTTCAAAGGCAAAGGAAGTTGAATAACAACAAAGACAAAGATATTTGCGCTGCAATGCTGATTCAACATGATTGAACACCAAGGGGGAGATTGTTGGGAATATTTTATGGTGTCCAATCTATTTAAATATCTTTGTATTTGTGTAGTTATTAATTAAATGTGTAATATGGGCCACAAATGTATACCAGCCCATTAGCTTCTTTGTAATCCATAAGTTAGCCAACTTCTCATATAAAAGGAAGCTAACTCATGGAAAACCTAAGGAATTAGGGCTTTGAGAGAATAGAGGCGAGATAGAGAAATTAGGTTTTACGTTGCTCTCCTTCTCGAGGGAGAGCAGCGGCCAGTCCACGGTATACCAGATTCGTTTATCATCTTCTCGATATCTTTCTATCTGCTTCTTCTTCACTGTTATGATTGTTAGATTGTTAGAAATTGGGACTAACAATTATAACTATAATTATAATTATGGTTGTAATTATAATATACTTCTCTTATAAGCATGAATATTGTCAAGGGTAGAATGGTTTAGGGAAAAATGTTCGTGTCTATTTATGCTCTAGCTGATTGTACTCCATGCATGTTTAATCCAAGGTTGTAGCCGTTATATGGCAAATCTGGGGCCAAGGAAGTCAACTTTGTCGTTAAGCCCCGACTATGTCTTCCTTTCCTTACGCCCTCCTTCCTCTCGTTTGTCCCTCTTCTTTTCCGTTCACAGAGTTCTGCGCCCAACCATGGTTGTCAACAGATACCTATGCCCAAGTGCCCAACCATGGTTGTCAACTAGTCATTTGGATACTCACGGGCCCGGCCCTGGGCAAGGGCAGGCTGGGCTTGTGCCTTGGCCCCAACATATGTGCCTGGGCAAGGGCCCATAATTATATATATATATATATATAGAGAGAGAGAGAGAGAGAGGACAATTCGTATTAGTCCGAGACCATTTGGGGCCTTGCCGGAAAAACTTTTAGATAAAACTTTTTGAGCGTATTCTTCATCAAGTGTAGATTACATCGACAAAATTTCAGCTTAAAATTCAACCGGGAAGTCAGTTAAATAAAATATTGAAACATACTGCAATTTGTGTATATAAATAAATAGCATGTGTACCCGTGCACTGCACGGTAGATACATGTTAAAATTTTTCTTAAATTAATAGATGTCGTGAATTGTATGTGAATTCATCAATTGGAATTTAAAAGATGATTCAATTGGCTATGAATAGAGCTGTCAAAATGAGTCGAAATCCGTAGAGGAAACCTATTTCATCTCATTTTGTGATGAGTTAAATTTGTTATTTTGTAACTCGATGAACTCGTCGATTTTGTGTTGGACCATGCAAGTTGCAAGTTGGCCGATATACAAACAACTAATTTTAACTTTCATTATCTTCATCTTCTCAAAAAAAACTTTCATTATCTTCAATGTTGATCGTTTATTACCAAAAACATGTTCAATTATATACTTAATATTTTACAACCTTTGTTGAACTATAATTCCTATAATAATTATTCAAATGAATTACTCCAACATTTTTTTATGTTATAGTTGAAAATAATTTTTCAATAATTAGTAGTCATTATTTACAAATATTTACTCAAGAGATATAACTGTATCTTTATTTTTGTACAGTGAGTGCTTTTTCTATGTACCGATTAATAGTTATCAAAATTTAGTATAACAATGATTTCATACTATTTTTAATTAAATAGTTGTGTACTTAGTATATTGATTTTTGTATAAAGAAAAGAATTTAGATCAAATGACAATGGGTGGAGAGAAATCGGAATGAACATGTACCGGTAGATTTGAGAATTATGTATTATGTGCAATAGAAAAATGCACTACATAAACCAGTAAATGTGGTGATATTTTTGCAAATAAATTCAACTTTTTTGTCCTTTGAAATTGTGAATTATTTTAACTATAAATGTGTGCCTCCATTAAATACAATATGCATCACTTCAGATCATTCTCATTTCTCATGAATAGAAGTGTTCCCACTCGAACCAAATCATATATATACTGCAAGGTAGTTTCTTCCAAGATCTTTTGTTATGTGTATTTTTTACTTTGATCTACATGGCAGCCTATGAAACTCATATATCATAAGATATGACCCACCATTAGACACGTATACCAATCTAAGTCTTGAAAAGCATAACTCACCATGGTTGAGTAAGATCGGGGAGTGCTAGCCCATTGGACAGTGTGAAACATAAATTGTGAGGAAGGTATAAATAAATATGAGATAAAATAGTGAATCTACATTTAGATATTGATTTGGTAGTAATAAATAGATAAGTAATACCATATTCATTCCATTGAGATCGAGACGTGTGCATTTATTAACAAAGATGTTATGTGATTAATATTGAATTTGAAAAAAATATAATGTAAGTGATTTGGATCTACACAAATATTACAATATTTGAAGCTACACAAATCCAATGAATAAAAAAAAGGAATTGTGTCTGTTAGAGGGTTAAATCTAACGGATTAGGACTAGTTCCATCCCTAGTAAGAATTATGGAATTTTAAAACAGTATTACTCTTATTTAGTTATTTTAAGATTTTTCCCAAATATTAATCGGTCCAACCTAGCTGGAGTTGATTGTTCTGGTCCTAATTTTTAGGAGTCCCGCTTTGTGTACACGCTGGGTTACACGCCGGTCAATGTGTCTGTGTACAAACAATTTGACTGGCGTTTTTTTTGAAGAAAATCGATTTCCACACAGACAAAAATAAAAAGTTGTTTGTATCACAAACATTTTGGACGAGAATTTTTCATAAATTGTATGTGATACAGACAATTTTAAACGAGAATTTTAAAATGTCTGTCATATAGACAAATTTTTTATTTTTGTCTTTGTGAAAAAACAATTTTCTTCATAAAACGCAGGTCAAATTCTCTATACATAGACAATTTGACGGCGTGTAACCGGGCATGTAAAAAGTGGCGTGTACAAAGGGAATTTTTCAATATTTAGAACTCAAAGTATTTCAAGTAATTTTCCGGTCCCTTAAAACACAACACTGATTAGATTGTTTTGGCCTTTTGGGATATGGGTTGGCCAGGATGGGCAATTACGATTGAAAAAATCTATTGGTACACACTATTGGTACACACTCTTACACACTGATGTCTGTGAAGGCGTTTTTTTTCTGGGACAGATAAAAAAAATGCCTCACAGACATGAGTGTGTAAGAGTGTGTACAAAAAGTTTGTACCCCAAGTCTGATTCATTACGATTCCACCTGTTGAGTACAGTCAAGTAGTCAACTACAATGTAAGAAAGTTGAAACTTGTCAATGGCAACTAGAAGGAAACCTATAGATAGATAATAAGAACCAGACCGAAACCAGTACACAACACCGATCACAATTTCCAGATGAGCTGTCCAATCTCAAATCGGGCCAAAACCAGCCTAAGTCCCCACATAGGCATAGGCCTAGTCGCCCAGATGTTCTTTCGGCACAAGATTAAGGCTTTTTGGCATGTTTTCTTTTTTTCCAAACTAATCGAGACCCCAAAAAGCTTACTTAACCCATCACATTAATTAGGGATGAACTCGAGTCGGGTTAACCGAACCGACCCCGGCCCGAACCAACACTGTTCCAGCCCGGCCCGGTCCACGGTTCTATGACCGATTCAAGCCACCCGGCTCGACACTGTAGTGGGGCGGTTCCCGGGCCTTGCATTTGATGAACCGGCCCGACCAGTTCGAGCCAATTTTTTTCACATTTTTTAAAAGGTAAATGGTTTGGGCTGGGTGTTTTGGAGGGGTTTGGGGTGTGAGGGTGGGGGTAGGAAGTAATTAGAAAATAAAAAAATAAAAAAAATAGGGTGAACCAGCCCGGTAACCGTCGGGTGAACTGGCCCGACCCGGGCCCGGAGCTACCCGGGCCGGTTTCCGGGCCTCACTTCTCCAAAAAAAGCCCGGTCAGAATCGGATCGAGGCCCGATCCGGCCCGAACCGAGGCCATGCCTAACATTAATGATGATGAGAATGAGAGATTGCTTCACTGATAAGTTCATAAAAAGCTTCTCATTACATTTGTTAAGCAATGAAATGGGAACTGTGGGACACAGATCCATCAAGCAAAATTTGTAATGTTCTTTGATATTCATATCTTTATATAAATCATTCAACTAACATCACTCAACAAAAGAAAAAATTCCAGGTCAACCGAGCGGAAATGAATTGTGGAAACTCAACTCGTTTTGACAGGTGCAAAATTGGATACAGAAGGAAGAAATTTTTATGAAACAATTCAAACAAATCCAACAAAGCCCTGTGAGAGAGAGTATCCGCTTGTCTTAACTTTCTTCTTCTTTTTCTTCTTGCCACTCTGTCCTTTAGATTCCCTTTCATTTCTAGAAGGCATGGCATCCCCTTCAGCTATGTCAATTAAGCTGCTTTCAGGGTCTTCGGACATCTTCTCTGGCTCCTCTGAATGTTGATCACCTGCAAAGTATTTTAATAAAAATTGAAAAAATCCAAATGCCAGTCTAAGACAAACAAAGCCAGCAGTTGAAGAGCTTAGAATTCTAATCATATAATATTGCCTTTTTTCTTTCCCTTTTGCTTCTTTTTTCGACTTGGGTCCTTCAAATCTTTCTCTATGATTGGGATTGTAGACACTTCTTCGCATTCTTGCATTGTCTCATTCACATCTTCTTGCTCTGGAGATAGCGGAGATGAAAAGATTAAAAAAACAGAACATTTGTCTTCTCGCATTGTTGTTTTAGGACATCAAAGAGCATTAATAGATTATTTTCACTATTACCCTACCTCATCCATAAATGCTACAACTACATCCAAGCCTTATTCCCAAATGATTTTGGGATCGGCTAACATGAATCGGTCCATAATATCGGAGCCAAAAAGGGAAGAAAGATAAGAAGAATAAAAAGATAAAGAGCCCGTTTGGTAGCACGAAAATCGGCTGATTTGGCTGATTCTGCTGAAATTTATGAAGTTCTAGTTGAACTGGATGTATTGGCTGATTCTGCTGATTTGAGAAAAAAATATTTTTAAAATATATTTTATTAATAAAATAAAGAAAAAATTATATGTAAAAATAGCTAAAATGATCATCTACAATAACTTCACCCAATACAGCCAAAAAAGTAAATGCAGCCTTACTTTTTCTGCTTATTACACAACTCAGCGCGCGAAAGCAAAATTTACGTGTTTGGTGAAAAAGATTGCTCATAAGCCTGATAAGCTGAAAAAAGTGTTGCCAAACGGCCTCAAAGTATGATAAAAAGTATAAGATAGAGATAAATATAGGATAAAAATAACATGAGAACATAAGAAAGATAAAAAAAAGATAAAAGAGCATAAGAAAGATAAAAGAGCCTAAGAAAGATAAAAGATAAAAAATAACATAAGAGCATTTAAAGATAAAGAGGATACAAGAAAAAGAAAAAGAGACACCAGAGATAAAATGCTACATGGCATTTTATTACATTCACAGAGGTTTTCTAGCTATTTAATACTCATTTTATCTTGATGTTATAAAAAGAATGGAGGGCTTATATCTCATATTCTCAACCAAGCCATGACAACAGAAAAGGCCCTACTTAGCATGCCCTATGCCCCTATTACCTGTTTTCTTGGTTTTTGGCTTCTTTTTATGACTGGGGTCTTTAGCGTCCTTCCTTTTTGTCGTGATTTTGGACACTTCTTCACGTTCTTCTTCTTGCGTCTCATTCACAACTTGTGGCTCTGCAGACAGTGAAAATGCAAAGTGTGTGTGTTCACAACTGAACCAATAATGCAGTCATATTCCCATTGAAATAAGGCTTAAAGATAAAATGACACTGACCTTCATTGCTAAAATGAGAATCAAAAACAAAATCCGTAAGATGCTGCTTTAAGAAAACCTGCATGGAAATTCAAAATTACTTGAGACAGGGGGCAAGCAAGCTACATCACAAATCTGGCAAATCCCATGAAGACAATTTCAAAGGCAATCCCAAATTATAAATTAATGTAAGCTCTTTAATACTCAAATCAATTAAGGGTGTGAACTGATGTTTATTCATCAACAGCAGCTTATAAAATACCGCAGATAGGAGTTGCCTGGACTTCACATTCCAAATGCGCAAATAGCTGTCCAGCCCTGTGAACATATAGGTGTTTGTTTGATATTACTTTCTCATGTTTGGAAAAGAAGTCGGGTAGACATTAGACTATTAGAGAATAAAAAGGTAAACTAAATAGTTAGTGACATCCTAGGATAAGTTCATAGCACAGTCTACACAGTGTAGTCAACGTTTAATGGCAATATGCATCTCATCACCTCAAAAGAGATGGGGGTACAACAACTAACAAAAATAAAGAAACTCACCACATGAGCCTATCACTGGGAGCTCAGGATGTCTAGCAATGGACCGTATACTTCCAGAACATTTACCAATGAAGCACCCCAAAAGCTTCCCTATAGTGTTGCCAAACAAAGTTAACCTCCTGATAACAACTTAATCTATAAAGCACCATAATCATTCCATTGACACTAAGAGAATAATGCTTTAATTCAAACTGCACTACATAAACTGCACTACAAGTTTGCGTGCTCGTTTTACACTAAGCAACTACGCAGCAATTTTGCATCCAACCTGCAATACGCCTTTTGTGGCCATTGCTATGTGAAATCAAGTTTGAAGCAGTGTTGTCAATTCCGGATAGCGGAGTGGAGCGGCCTACCCCGAAAGCGGTATAGCGGATAGCGGGATGACCGCCATTTGTATAACTTTTATACATAATATTACATTGTGTATACATATAACTACATAAATAACATATTAAATGCATAAAATGGCAAATACTGCTCAAAATCCCAAACTACATGACATTCATATAGAATATTTCTAACTATTCCACTTCTAATCATGATTAAAGTTATGTCATGTGGCCTTTAACAAGGTTGTCGGATCAACACTAAACAAGCTTCGGGGCTAGTGGTAGATGACTAAGAAGAGTTGAAAGTAGAAGAAGAAGATCAGTAGTAGTCGTAAGTAGTTGAAGAAACAAGGTCTCTCTGGATTTTGCCAAAGATTTTCTGGTTTGGTATGTAATTTTTCGAGCCACAACGCTGGTCGTCGAAGGAGTAGAATAGAGATGACTAAGAAAGATACCTTAAAATGTAGGGATGGGTTTTACGAATTTTGAAGGGTTTTCATAGGGTTACTTCTTTACGAAAAACCCTTTAAAAAATTTAAAAACCAAACAACCACAATAACAACAACAACAACAAAGCCTTAGTCCCAAAAGATATTGGGGTCGGCTAACATGAATCGATACATGATATCACCACCAAAAGGAAAAGAAAGAAAATAAAGATAAAAAAGATAAGCTATTATAAAAAGATAATATAAAAAAATGAATATACATAAAAAAGAAAATAAAAATGATACAAATAATGCTTATATATATAAGGATAAAAAACAAGGAAAAAAAGATGAGAGGAAAAGATGATACGAGATCACTCCTCCACACGAATACCCGCCCTCCACTTAGCTCTCTCCAAAGTCATGCTCTCATTCAACCCCAGAAGAAGCATATCACTTCGAACTCCCCTAACCCACGTCAGTTTGGGTCTTCCTCTCTCTCTTCCCTGCCTCTTCTCCACACATCTCAACTCGTCTGACAGGTGTATCACTCGGTCTTCTACGCACATGACCAAACCACCGTAGGCGCGACTCCCACATCTTGTCTTCAATAGGTGCTACTCCCACCCTTTGTCTGATTGCCTCATTCCTCACGCGATCCTTCCTAGTATGCCCACACATCCCACGCAGCATGCGCATCTCTGCAACACTCATCTTTTGAATATGACATTGTTTCCGCTAAAAGGTTCAATAGCACATCTATAGCGCCCGCTCCTAAGCTATGTCCGCTACAGAGGCTCTAGTAGCGCCCAGGTGCCACTCTGCTCCGCTATAGTGCGCTATTGACTTCACTGGTTTGAAGGGTGAGACATAAAACGAAACTGTAATCACAAACCTCTAATATGGTGATTATATCTTTAAAATGAGCATCTATTATGTTTGTTTTGTAAAATAACCCTAAGGCATGTTAAAAGACACTGGAAAATTTTTGTAGGTAACCCAGTGAAACTTCCTGTGGTAACCCTCTAATCATTCAGAGAAATACTAAAAACCACAACTTACTCGGGAAAACTTTCCTATAGTAATTGATGATTGAAATTTCAAAAAAATGACTTAGAGGAAATACATCCCTGTTGAGCATCAGATTGGAACATACTATAATGTTGTTGTAGCATCTTTGAAACATGGATAGTTAAGAGACAGTATTCAAATGAATTAAAAAACACAACCCAGAAGCACTTGAAGATGGAACCACATGACATACCTGTGCGCAAATCAAATGAAGCAAGGTCACCTGTCCCATTGCCTGCATATATTGTCCACCCATCTAGGTCTTCAGCGACAGCTTTTATAGATGTTTCTCGAAAATCAATTGATATCACAGGTCTTCTCTGAGCAGAAATATCATAAAGACGCACCTGCAATAATAATCAGAAAAACTATATTGATTGCAAAATGGTTTTATAGATATATCATTAGAAATAAAATTAGAAAATGGGTCAAGATGGAGATAAGCACTCCTAAGAAACATTAACCAACTAAAGCAAAATCCACTAGTTTTAGTGCACATAATTTTGCAACGCCTGGAAACTTTGGCCAGCAATGGAAGTGGTTGCTCTTTAGGTCCCTATCATTTTTACAAGTACCAAAACCTAAATGTCACAAGATTTTATATTTGTTCTTTATGTGTGTTCATTCATATGACCTTTTATTTCATATCTCCTGTTAATATGAATTGATGGTTGTGGAATAAATGACCATAAATTTGGTATAATTATTTTGCAACTCTGCCATGATTGTCCCAAGCCAGTATAACAGAGGAGGGTGTTGTAGTAGGCGTGTGACGGCCAGAAGTGTAACTTAGTCACATCACATGACATTATCTTTTTATCGATTTTTAATTCCAGTTTCATATGGATGTTGTAGGTTGTTGTAGTCTTGTAGATGACTTTATGAGGAAAAGATAATTAAGCGTTCAGAATGAAGGTGTATTCTATTCTCAAATCATTTTTAAGTTTTGGAAGGGGATTAATCAATGACCTGGGTAGAGAGGCAATGACGAGACAAAAATAACTACGATAATGGGATGGGCTATGTTTTTGTTAGTCACTGCAAATTGGAATGGTGCTCATGCCCCAGCAACATCAACAGAAGTGTTTGACACCCTAAAGTTTACATCCCACATATTAAACCACAAACGCCGAATGAAAAATTCACAATTCTAAGAATTGTGAAATTAACGCAAAACCACCCCTGAAAGCAGAAGAGCTTAGCTTAGTTTCCTGCTCGACATTTTTTCCTTTTTCACATTTTCCATTCAAAAACAAAAAGAAAGCTAAAAACAAAAAATATTTACACCAGTCTCTTAGATTGGACTTTTAAAGACAGGTCTATATTTAGTATTATACTTGTTAGTAGCTTTATAGACTTAGTAAGACTTAGTTCAGCCTAAGACTGCAATTTAAAACTTCATCAGTTAATCTAGTACCCTTATTCTGACTAGTAATTTCAATGGCAGGCCATTTGCAGGTAGTCCACACATCAGCTAACTCTCAATCTGTTGGAATATTGGCAGTTATTTTAGTTCTATAAGCAATAAAAGAAAAACTTAATTTCACAAGAAAAGAAAGACTAACGCTAAAGTAGAGTACTAGGGTCAACAAGAAATCACCAGTTCAACATAGAAGTTCTATGAGGGCTTTATGATAAGTTATAGGGATCGTGATTTAAGTAGGCACCATGAGGAACCACCCAGGATAAATGTTGATATTCAACTCGTTTTGAAACTAAAATATTATCTTTAGAGAACTCAAAAAGATCATCCTTAGATATTGACATCCACAAAAAGATTCAATATCCAATTACCTGATGGCTATTAGTTCCAGCTGCAACTTTGCGATGATCATCTTTGCTTAGGAATGTTGCAGCCGTAAACCAAGTTGGCGTAAAGATGCCAATGCTGTTTTTAGGAGGCTACATGAAATGAATGCATGAGGTAAAACATGAGCCAAGCAGCGAATGAATATAACTGTTTGTATCCAGGTGTACACTCATAAAAAAACTAAAAAAAACTTACAGATCTTGCAGCCCAGACTTTCTCACTTTTTTCTAGATCCCACACATTGATTTCAACTCCCTTCCTGAAATTTCAATTTTAAGGCAAATCCAGCATCCATAAAATAGCTCAAACAATAAATAAAAAAAACAAGCTTATTTTTCCAATGTAATATGGCTACAGATCTTTACCCCCCAAACAAAGCATAATTTTCACTGCTGTCAACTTTGGAGCACAAAATGTTACCCGAACCACATGCATTCCATGTGGTCTGAGAGGCGTCAGAGGTTGAGTCTCCTGGTGACTTGGGGAATTCAAATGACCTTATACTTGCATGTCCTTTTGTTGTGCATGTAAGTAAAGTACATGACCTAATATGAAAACATTGCAGAAACATTTAGACTGGAGATGCCAAACGAATCAGATTGAGGAATGTTCACAAGCACATGAAACAAATATACAAAATTAGCACCTCGTTGATGACTCCATCCTCTGTTTTCTGAAAAGATGTAATGCAACAATAGCATCATCATCACTCACACTGCTACTTATACTAGAGCTCGGAATAGTAAGACGGACATCACCGTTGATAGGGCTAAGCACCTCAAGCTATCAGCACAGATATATTAAAATTCTGATAGGAAACAGGCATTCACAAAACTTGTAAATTTCATTCCCGCTTCTTTTAAACAGAGCTCTACAGTTCTCAAATTTCCCTTTGGTTTCAGAACTTATCAACTAATAATTACTCTGCAAGTTTACATGATACAATGGTAAAGTGATTATCTTTACAGAAAAAAATTACCATGCCATTTTTTCTTGCAACGCCAAGAAGCTGAAACAGTCAAGCAAACAATGAAAAAAGGCCTTAGGTCTCAATTTCAACAGGAAATCAACAATGAGCATTAATGCATTATTATTAGAGTTCAACATACAGGGTCATGTTCGCGGTCAATAATGGAAGTGGCTAGCACGCATCTTGAAGAATCCGGGTCACCCCACCGCTCCACTACCGCCGGAGCTTCCTGTTTTTCGCCGCCACGAGCTTGAATCACTGTACAAAACTACAGCTAAGTGATGGGCTTTCATTAACGTTGGTTGTGAACATTTAATCGGCAAAAATGCATTTTTCTTTGTGAAAAAGAGAGAGAGAAGGATACCTTTAATGAGACCGAGAGTATCAAAGGTTAATGCTCGGAGGCGAGGGCAGCCAGGGCTCTCGGAGCAAATGGTACGCGGCATAGCTGCTTCCTTCTTCCTCGGTCGGGCAATGCTTTCTTTTACCTAGTTTATCAAGGAGTATGCAGTACTCAGGGGTGGGCAAAGTGGTTTGGTTTAACAGAACCGAACTGTTGGTGGTTTGGTTTGGTTTAAAACCAAAAAATCGTAAATCGAACCGAACACCGGAAAATGAATAAAATCGAACTAAATTAAACCTAATACTTTTTCCTTTGGTAAACCAAACTTCGAACCGAACCGAAACCAACCCGAAAAACAAATGCTTTTAAATATCATCAATATAGTAATAAAAAATAATAAATGAACGGGAATGATTGGGGGGCTTCAATCTTTATCTTGGATATGCTATACTCTGAAACGGTCTCATAGTGAGTTAATTTTAACAAATGCATCTTTCTCAATTCAACTTCATAAATTATATTCAAGACTTTTTAATATTATTTTCGGTGTCATTATCTCACGAAAAAATAAATTATTTGAGTAAGAACACACAATGCTCGGCTCTTTACTATCTTTAGGAATCCATCCATAATATTGTTTCATATGAATTCTTACCAATCAACCTAGACTAGAATTGAAGTAATATGATTATAATGGTAAAATAGCATTACAAGAAACTAAACACACAAATCCACAATTACAATATAATTAACAATTTAATAAATAAGAATAATAATAAATAAACTCTAGGATTGCACAAAAACTAACCATTCATAAAATAGAACTAATAATGAAAAGATTTACATACAGGATTGCCCACAACATAAGTAGCAATCGCATCCCAGGATAGAACGGTTTCTACGTTCTCGAATGACACCGGCGAACCAGATGATGCACTAAAGTGGTGGATTTTGGATGAGAAATATTAAGAAAGCTTTGAGCATTTTCGGACTTCTTTTCGAGTGAAAAACGCAGGCCTCCTAAGAGGATTTATAGTGCTCTGGCCAGGAGACACAATCCCAAGAGGTGCATGTTAACAAAAGATAGTGATCCTTCTCTTAAAGTTGCTTTTATCCGAAAATAATTTGTACAAAAAATAATGTTTAAGTCTTAAAGCCACGCGAGTACCCCCCTGTACTCGAACCCCGACTCGACCTGTCCAGCCAGCCGGGCGGCAGCGGCGGCACGGGACAAGTTCTACACGAACATTGCTTTGGAGAGAATTTTGAGATACAATTTCTCATTCATTTCAAAATGATTTCTACAAATAATAAATAATTTGTAAAACCATTTTTCGAGATACACGAACATTGCAGCGTTTTGTTGTTTAAATTAATGAGTGGTTTGCTACATCCGCTGTTATCCAAATGAGGGCTTTGTCCAGGACTTGACGTAAAGGACGTTTCTAGCGTTATTGGGAGTTGTTTCGCAAATTGTGAAAGAGGTGTGTTGGATTAGTTGTGATGAACGATTTGGCCTGAGAAATGGCAAATATATCATCACTTTTAATAGTATAAATTGTCTCGGAAAAAAAGGATTTGTTTATATATTATCATGGATAATTTTGTTAGAGAACTTCCAAAGGTTCCAAACAATGGTATTGGAAGGGACATAGTTAATTAAAATCGTCTATACTACCTGGAAAGTTGTTGTACCAACCCGATAGGTAAGCATGGATAGAGTTTGTGGGGCCAGGTTTAAAATTGAACATATTTTCAAAGCGATGCCAGACATATTTGGCAAGGTTGCGGGATAAAACGAAATGATCAATAGTATCATTATAGGGACAAACATGGCATTTGAAAGGACCAATAATGCCAAATTGTCTTAGTTGATTTTCAAAAGGGAGCCAACCATTTCCCAATTTCCATAAGAAAAAGGATATTGTTTTGGAGTCCGGTCATTCTGAATATACTTGGAAGTATTCCTAACGCTCATATTTGGCCTTATCTCATCATAGGCACTAGAAAAACTGAATTTGCCATTCGAAGTGGGTTTCCAAAGGTAGCATCTCTAATTGTAATGTGGCTAAGGCTAAGCGGGATGTCATCAAAATGAAGGTAGAGGGGGGCCAATACCACACCAATTTGAGAACCAAAAAGAACTAGCCCCATTATTCACCTAATCAAACACAAGCGTTTTTCTCAAAAATATGGCTCATTGAATCAAGTGACTTGTGCATAATTAGCCGAAATACCCATGTTGATCCTAGTTTTCCATAACAGTTTAAGGAAAAAAGTTTTTTGGATGTTGGCTAATCTACGAAAACCTAAGACATATTCGTTAATCGGGTAGCAACATTTATCCCAACTACGTCAAATATGTTTATGGTTGTCCGATGTATTATCCCATAAGAAATTAGAGAGTTTCCTCTCAATATTGTGAATAATGCATTAAATACTAGTATATGTGTACCACTCACCTTATAGTAGTATACTTATATATTATATACTATTAGTATTATATACTTACATTAATTTATTAAGTATGGTATATACTTTATAGTTTACATATTTATCATATTAGTTATATTTTCATTAATATTAGTTATACATTTATCCTATTAGTTACATTTATCATATTAGTTACATTCCCATTAATTAACATACGTTAATACATTTATCCCATTATTTACATTTTCATTAATATTAGTTGTACATTTATCCTATTAGTTACATTCTCATCAATTAATAAACATTAATACATTTATCCTTTTAGTTACAAAAATATTTATATAATAAATTGTACTACCTCCGTCCAAAAAAGGTTCACCATATTGACTTTTCTTGGTCAATGATGACAAATTTTGGATAATAATTTTAATTATTATATTTGTATGTAATTTATAAATTTTATACTTTTATAAAAATATTTTGAATAAGGAACATTTTGATATAATTTTCATATTCTAAATATTTTTGTATTAAAAAATATCATTGGTCAAAGTTGATTGTCATGACCAAGAAAAGTCAATCTGACGAACTTTTTCGGGACGGAGGGAGTATGTATTAATTATATTATCCTATTATTTACGTTTTCGTATTTACATTCACATTTTACATCATTCATACTTAAATGCTTCTTACATTCTCATTTTAGATTATTCTCATTTTAGTTGCATTTGAAAGTGTTAATAGTAGTCGCATTTTAATTGCATTTACTATACTCTCATTTACTATACTTGCTACATTATCATATTAATTAACCATATTTGTTAGATTTTAATATTAATCATATTAAACTTGTTACGTAAAATATTAGCCACATTTAAAAATACTCACATTATCATGTACAATGTGTGACATTTTAATATTAGTTGCATTTAATTATTAGTCACATTTAAATATTTATTACATTATCTTTTTACATTGTTTTCATTTTATTTTCATTTACTATACTTGTGACATTATCATATTAGTTACATTTTAATATTAAACTCACATTTTAATATTAAACTCACATTTTAGTTACACTTTCATATTAGTTACATTTTAATATTAAACTCATAATTTAATATTAAACTCACATTTTAGTTACATTTTTATATTAGTTACATTTTAATATTAAACTCATAATTTAATATTAAACTCACATTTTAGTTACATTTTTATATTAGTTACATTTTAATATTAAAATCACAATTTAATATTAAACTCACATTTTAGTTACATTATTATATTAGTTACATGTTAATATTAACCTCACAATTTAATATTAAACTCACATTTTAGTTACATTATTAGTTACATTGTAATATTAAACTCACATTTTAGATACATTTTTATAGTAAACTCACATTTTAGTTACACTTTTATATTAGCTGCATTTTAATTGTACTCACATTTAAATATTTGTTAGAATTTAACTTTTGTTACATTTTAAGATGTCGCAACCTAGACATTCTATAGATTTGGGTAACCTCCAACGCAAACAGAAAGAAGGAGATTTTGAAAGGACATCATACTTCGCGAGGCGAAGGTAAAGGACATGTCGAATTTTCTTCTCAAAGTCGGGATGATTTTGGATACAGATTACCACCAGAGAGATGCGATATTCGATGAGCAACCGGCTCAATTGTTGGTCCAAGGACATGGCAAGTTTTACCAACAAGATGACATCTCCAAAATTGATGAAGAGCTCGGGAACGAGGAGGAGGAGGAGCCGACGACAGACGAAAAGGAACAAGCCGGTGAGGAACCCCCAACGAGGAGGGGGAACAAGGCGCCGGTTCATGCAACTTGCAAACATTGTAAGCAAGTTGTAAGCAAGTATTGAGCTTGGGGACATCAATGGGATATGACATCGCTCATAGGCATTTGAAGGCCCGGCATCCCACGGAGGCAGCGAAACTTAAAGGCAAGGGGACGCAAGCACAAATATAGAGGTTCGCAAATAATCAATCCTTTGGTAATTTTGTTTACAATGATTTCATTTCAAACATTTAACTGCTATGTGTGACATAATATGTGAAAAAATGTCTTTTATTCTTCTGAAAATCTTGCTTTGCGCGCTTATGTTCAAGGTTCTTTAAACCCTCGATTTTGAAACTATAGTTGCAAAACAATTTTAAAATGTGTTATAAGATAATTTTTTTTTTGGAAAGGGGTAACTTAAAAATATTTTTCACAAACTTTGATGAGCGTGTTAGTATTTGTAGTGATATATTGGAAAATATGTATCATCATTTGTATGAACGGAGAGCGATACTTAGAAATATACTGATATTTGGGTGTGACTGCACATTATATTGATGATAATTGGGAAATGTATAAACGTGTTATCGCTTTTCAAGAATTCAATGACCGTCACACCGGTGATAATATTTATATCATCATTGAACGTAATTTAACTGAATATAATTTGATTGATAAGGGGGGTGTTTGGTAAATGACATTCCAGCTGAAAATGACGGTTTGACCACTTTTAGCATTTTGAATAAGTGAAAAAACTGTTTGGTAAATAGTTTTTCGACACTAGCGGTTTTGGACGGAAACACTAACATGTAAACGTTGCAAATAGGAGAGCTTTGAGTTAGCGTTTTGAGATATGATGGTTTCTATTAATTTTATGTTGAAACAACTAAATTACCAATTATCTTCTGACAACCCGTTTACTTATTCCGATAGTCAAACCCGCTGACTGAATTTGATATTGACAACCCGCTTATATAATCCGTTAGCCGTTAACCGCTAAATGCCAAACATGCCAAAGGTGTTTGCTATTGGTTTTGTAACGTTGGTAATAATACTGCAACTATTCCTAGATTACGTGAATTGTGTGGTCTATCTACTTTGATGGGTAGATTTTTCATCAGCGTTGTGCATGTCATATTCTTAATTTATGTGTAAGAGATTGCTTAACCGCGTTAGGAACTCTGATAGGGAACGTGAAGGTGGTATTAGACTTATTTGGGATAATACTCAACTTAAACTGCAATGGCGTGAGTATTTGAGAGCTAGACGTGTTAGATATTGTGTTTTTCTAAAGACTTGTCGATTCACTAGAATAATACTTATAAATTACGTTATGTACTTATTCGATTTAAGGACCATTTTCCTGATTTTTTGAAAGAAACTTGTAACTATATTATAGAACCGGTTGAGATCGACACTATGGAAAAAAATTGCCCTGTTTTGGTTTATTTTCATAACGCAACTCAAACTTTTTATCATGTTTATACACCTACGGCAAACCTATTTTTTGTTGAAATTGATAATCTCGCCGGTGCCTTTTAAAGAATTTTCTCAGTCCCCTTACGTTAATTATTTTTGTGATTTACTGAAAGAAAAGTTTTTAAAATATTATGCCTTAATATTTATATCCAAAGACCTTATTTATACTTTAATGAGCATATTATATGACCACATGTCTATCTCAACTTATGCTTTTTGGCAACTCCCATCTTTCGCTTGTACATTTTCTTATCACTCAATCGTTAATACTAACACAATACTCACTTCTAACTTTCCTCATTTTCCAAAGATAATATGTTTAGAGCACTTTATGTGCAACCCTTATGCTTCTAATGTCCCCTAAGGACCTCCAATGCACCAATAACATATGTTCACTCATTCCTTCGTTTCAACTACTAGTGATGTCACTAGCAAAACATACCCCTCGAGTTGCATTTTATGATCCATCTACGAATCATGGCTAAAATAACAACACAGAGGAACTAGCTAGACTTATATTTAATGCTTAAGGATTCAATGGTTGAAGGTAAAGACCTGTGAATGCACTAAAAGTTATTCATTTTGTAGTAGATGTGGGACAAAGTGTGATCTCATTGTGGTGTTCTGAAAAATCTTCTAAATGTTGTGATATTTCTCATTCTACTTAGGATTTTGTATGATTCAAAACATAACAAGATCAAGATATTTTAATTTTATCCAACACTTTTATTTGTCATGTTAGTAATCCAAGCCCTAAGAACAAATAAATGTGTTCTTTCAATTGACCCCAAGTTTCCACCTCTCACTCCACCAGTATGTAACTTTGTTTCTTGCAAGATGTTTTTTTGCAAAGCTTCCTAATCTGTTATAGTATTTATTCTATGTTAAGACCAATGTTCTTGAACTGGGATGAGAATTGAATATTTGACCTCCTCCTTGCAAAATGTTATTTCCCATAAACACTTTCTCTTGAATATTAAATTGATTATTTTGTGACTTTGATGTGCTTTGTTTCTACATTTAATACAAACTTTATAGTTTTTAAGTTTTGTATAAAGATGACTACTTTTTAACTTCTATTTACAAATGGAGATTTTTTGTTTGGGACACAATCTCGTACCGTTCTAAACTTTAACTTCCAGTCTTTATTTAAATGGGAAAATGGTTGGACAAGGGCCTATCCCTAAATGTTTCACATAGTTATTATTAATCATGTTCAGTACTTATCATGAAACAGTCTGATTCCAGATCCAGACTGACAGGTCCTGAAAATTCTGGATAGTATCAAGACTTATATTTTCGAGTCTAAGTTCGTTTTCCCGTTTTTTATGAAGAGATTATCGTTACAAACCCGACAACAAACAATCACAACAACATTACCTGAAGAGATTATTATTACAAATCCGACAAGAAACAATAACAACATTACCTCAGTGACACAAAGGCTCCCCCACCTACAATGGAGTTACAAACCTAACATATGAATAAAAGCGATTTAAAATTCCAAAATAAGAATACTACTCCCTCCGTCCCGCTAGAAGGTTCCCACTTTTCTTTTTTGGATGTCCCGTTAGAAGGTTCTCATTTTCATTTTAGGAAACAATTAACAATCTTAAGTGACAAATTAATCATTAAATATTAAAAATAATACATTTGTAACATTACAGTTATCAATACTACCTACATTATAATATATACATATTAAAATTATTTCTCAAAATATACTCGAAGTACTTTATTTAATTATTGTCTAAATAACCGTGCCGTTTTGCTATGGGAACCTTCCAACGGGACGGAAGGAGTATATTTTTATTCTCTAAATAAGAGTAATTTCTGTCAAGTTTGGAAAATATTATTATATTTAAAGACAAGTAATATAATAGCAAAATGACTCATTAAACTGTTTGCGTTTATTTGTTATGAAGCAACAACCAATTTATGCAATTCTCGTCGCGATTTCATCATTGGTCACCCGGGGCTAGGGATGGACCCGGGCCGGTCCGATTCCGGTTCCGGTTCCGGGCCGGGCCCGAGCGGGTTTTTTTTTTGCAAAATGTTGGGCCCGGAACCGGCCCGGGCCCGGGTCAAGTTCAATTTTATTTTTTTTGGGTTTCTAATTAACACCCGACCCCCCCCCCCCCCCCCCCGTCACCCCCCACCCCCAAACCCCCCAAAACACTCAACCCTAACCTAGAAAAGCAAAAAAAAAAATTGAAAAGAAAAAAAAAATTGAACCGGGCCCGGCCCGAACCGCCCGAGCCGGTTCACCAAAAGTTGGGCCCAAGCCCGGCCCGCCCAACCCGTCCAAACGGGCTAAAAGCCCGGAACCGGCCAACCAGTCCCAGTCCGGGCCCGGTTTAGTCCATCCCTACCCGGGGCCGGAAACAGTCTCTTGTACTTTAGTACAAGAGTAAAACTGTGTACATCCGACCCCGTACCACAGTTCGTGAAAATCTTTGCGGCACTAGGTAATGTTGTTATTGTATTTAGTGCTGGTAATGCCAAAAAATGACAACAAATACTCTTATTTAAGAAAGAAAATATAATTTTCTATTTTGAAATTCACAAACGTTTTTACTCCGACAATGATTACGTTAAAAAAGTCACGAGCCACAAAACTTCTGTGCCGTACATATTTAGTATAAAATAAAATTAAACGCTTGGAAATGCTCCGTAATATTTACAACGGTTTGACTGGTAACACTAAATTCTGATTTGTTTGAATATATAGAACACTTAATTGGGATAACTTGTGGAATTTCAATACTATTGGTAATGAGTAATGACTGGAGCTTGGTTCTCCTCAATTACACACCTTGACAAGCCAAAGAAAAAACTTGAAGCCCCAAAGCGCAAGTAGCTAACTGAAACATGAGCCATCCATTCTCAAAATAATTGGAAGGCACTGTTCTACACTACAAACATACAGAGTGAGTGAGTGAGAGAGCGAGAGATCGAGAAGAGAGTTTCGCTTGCTCCCATTCAGAATGAAATGGAAACCCTAATAAAATGCAGAGTAGAAAAATTTACTCGTGAAACTGCAATTCAGAACAATGAATCGGAAGTTGCTGCAGATAGCAAGAAGCCTCTGCATGCTAGTAGGCAAGAACTGCTCTCATGCTGGCTGCAGAAGACGACGACGACGCCGGTGCATCACCTTCCCCAAAACCTATCCTCCCTTGAACAATATTGGAAACTGACATCTGTCTCACAAACCGAGTAAAACTAACCCAATTCCGGTATTCAAACAAGTTCTTGTCCATCCGGACAAAGTTGAAGGAAAACGACGGTTTATCCAGACCACCCGAGTAGAACTTCGACATCTTCAACACCTGCTCAAAGGATTTGTCATCCAAAGTGGTCGTGGAGTTTTCACCCACAAGCGGAAGATCACAGTTTCTTGCAGCAAGAAGTAGCTGTCTTAGAAAACCTTCAGGGCTGCTCACTGGATTCACCTGTTGCTCTTCCAAGTCTTGCATCTCGAAACATGCACAACATAGCGTGAATCCATATATACCAAACATGCGAGCAATTGGTAGGAGACCGTCTCTGATTGAGGTGTTGTAATAGCCAGCTGTTAGTTCTGATGGGTGAGATGGCGTACCATAGTGCCAATGGACCCCGCCTACTTTACCTGTCAGATTGACCTCGATGCCTCTGAAAACAGTTGCTGCTTCCTTGCAAACCCTTTCTCCGTGAAGCAAAAGCATCCCAGAGTACCATTTCAGGAAGAACTCTCCATATGGTGTGTTCCAAGAACCCTCGCTTCTGAAGAACTCTGTGCTTTCAGGGTTATGCATCAAGTTGCTAGCACCAATGGGGCCCCCATTTGCCCATTCACGCATCCCTATTTCCCCAGCACATGCATTCTGAGAAGCCAGCATATACTGCCAACCAAGAAAGAAAACAGTGAAGTCCCTTGGGATATATGCAAATCGTTTAGGCCTTAAGGAAGTCAAACCAAAACAGATCACACAGAACGGAGTTAACCAAAAGCGGTTTAGTTTACGGTTTAAGATTTAAGCTTTACAACCTGCCAAACTGACAAAGCATGATGGTAACTGACCAACTAAGTTATTCTGTTCGGTTTAAGGTTTTGCATTTTTTAAACCAAATCATAGAACAGCCCTAATATAACTACAGTAACAGCTCTGAAAAATTCAAGTGCATGATACCTTATCATAGCACTGGAATTCACCAAGTTCAGGTGAGCGCCATGTCCTTGCTAGCTTTAGTGAAGGGCATGAAGGATATCTTAATTCACCATCGGGCCCCATTCCAACTTGAATCCCCTGTGAATTAAGTACCAGGTTCAATCTAACATATCTTTTGCAGGTAATGTATTGTGGAGTATTAAACACAATAACATTAAGTCATGACACGAAGAAGCATCTTACAGTTATGGTGGTTCCCAGATATGGTCTAAAGGTGTCCCTGAAGTGCCTCATAAAATCAGCATATGCTTGTATTGGAGATCGTCCATGCAGAATGGGAAGAACATCACATCCTAGGGAAACATATTCCATGCTCCGTCTCCCAAACCTATCTGAATATGCTAAATCTTGATCCTTTTTTATGTCTTCTATCACCCATTGAGGAAGAGGGATCCTTGCAGAAAAAAAAAAGTTGCACAACTTAGGCGCATCACACAAATTAACAGCATAAATTGAAAAAGCATGCTCAAGAATTCAATATTTAAGCAAGCAAATGAATTTTAATATTGCCATTGACAGAATAAACTGTGAAAGTATTGACATTTCATAACAAAATTAGAAACGTTATCTTATACACAACTAACGTTTCATTTACACAAATCATGCTTCACTCTCCCATTTTGTAGTTTAAATCAAGTTGAACTTCATTGGCCCTCAAAGTAACACCCATAAATCAAGAGAGCATTCTAGGCCAAGCAAGGATGTTTTTACTTGGACTCATTTCAGTCCCAAATCAGACCAAACTTCAACAGTTCAAAAATACACAGAGACCAGACATTTACCAAACCAGACCAAACCAGGCCAGATCAAACCAGAAAATTTCAGTCCAAGTAAAAACATCCTAAAAGAGCCTTCTAGGATGTTTTCCATAGCTAATAGTATGACCAATCAATATATTCTGCAAACTGGGAGCTGACAAATCAATCAAAAGTAGCCTGCAAACAGCAGCAAAATTGGTTGCATGTCTTATAGCATTCATCCACCAAAAGATAACAAAGTCAAAGGAGGTCCAGAAGACCTGTAAACTTTTGTGAAAACCAGCATTGTTCAAGAATAGGACAAGGTCATGTAGTCCACCATAACAACCATATGTATCCTAGCCTCATGGGGTCTGGGGAACGTATATTTTACTGTTTTGATCTCTTTTCTCTCAGTACATTACTTCAATGTTTCCAGTAAAAAAGCATGAGACCCTCATCACTGCCTGAGATGTTTAACAGCCCATTCTACTACACTACGAAGAGAAAAGTCTATCACATAAGCTCCATATGATAATAAGATGAACACAAGCTATACACTGTAAAAATAAATTCTAATACTACCTCCGTCCCGCTATGATTGTCCCATTTTACCTTATCGATACATCCCACTAAGATTGTCTCATACCAAATTTGGTAAAGTTTGTGTGGCTCTAAATCATTCTTACTTTATTCTTACTTTATCAATTCAATATCAACCACATAAACCACTTTTTATTAATTTGTGTGTCACTCCCTCTTGTCCCATTGTTAGCGGGACGGAGGGAGTACTATAGACTCTACTCACTCTAGGACTCTAAGTTACCTAAATATCACTGAATAATAAATAAGTTAGAGGAACTGGACTTGGTTTAAACATTCATGAGAGAATACCACGATGGCAATCAGTAATAGCAATTAGTTGAATTCATGTATGGAGGATGAATCAAGGTTTATTAAATACACATAGCATGAAGGGTCAATGGACAATATGCTACTAGATCCAAGAGACATATTAATTGCAAAATAAGAGTGCATTTATCAACAAACGAGCATTTCTTCAAAATCACTAGCAAATAGCTATTGGACTCCTGGATGAAATCCCTAATCCAAAGTCCATATATCCAAGTGGTTCTCATTCACTTGACTGTATGCATGAGTCTCCTACTTCATATATACTGGACCTTCATAACTTTCCATAGTGCATGGCAACTTATGCTAAAACTAAATATGTATTCTACATTAGTGCACTACTTTGCAGCTAAAATTAAATATTTATTCTACTCCGATTGCAATACTAACTCTTGTCATATTAATACACTCTGCCATAATCCTCATGTCGTTAGTAAATATACTACTTGTCATATTAGTCAATCAAATGAACCAACACTGTGGGCCTTCCCTTGTTAGCCTGAGGATATGTATCAATGACAAATCAGAAGTCCTTAAACTATTATTACTCTGATGATCATCTCATAGATATAAAAAGGCAAGGTTTGGCATAGCCTCATAGCCTAGGATTAGTGATGTATTCAATTGATTGATTACGCAGTTACGCTTAATTGATAGTACCTACATTAGCTAATCTTATAAACAATTGAATCATGAAATGCTACCCACCATAAGGGATCATCAGGACCTGTGCCACACTGATGAAATGCCATTACAGCTCGAACCTTCAGGCCACATCGTTTAGCCAGCATCACAATCTCCAAATAGCCCTGCCAGTTGTATAAACCAGGCGTTTCCCTCTCCACCAGCCCCCACCACACCTCCATCACCACCCCCTCCACTCCGGCCGCCGTCAGAGCCCTGAACGACTGCGACATAGTCTTCTTCCTCTTCATCTGTCCCAACTGGGTGCTAACGGCGTCCACAGGGAGAGTCACGAACACGGAAGATCCCCTCCGGCAGTGGTGCGCGGATACTCCGTGCTGTAGCTCGTAGCGAAGATCACCATCGAAGCCATTGGAGTGGGCGGATGAAGATGAGTCGAGTCTGGAGCACAAAGTGAGCTTCCGGGCTTGGAACCGAGTTTGGATCTGGAACAATCGGGCGGAGCTAACTGCAGCTCGGGCTGGTCCGACCCGACAGCAGCAGTAGGAGTACGAGAGCCTCGGAGCGGACGGCGAAGCGATCGCCATTGCTAAGGAGAACTAATTAGGGTTTATAATGCTGTTTTCTTTTTAGTATAAGTGAATAATGAGTATACGTATGTGTGAGAAATGGAACTTGAGATTTGAGGATCGGAGAAGAAAGTCTGTTTCAGGCGAAACTCCCATCACAATTCCTTCTCCGACCAAAAATATATACATCTGACCTGGACGGAGGAGTATATTCTTTTCACCTTTTCCAAGTATTACTGTATTACCGCTAATCATCTCGCACTAAATGAAACTTTCATCGACAGGACAATAACTTCAAAATTCCCTAAAATAGGATTAGCTTTTCACCTTTATACATCACATTATCTTTTTTTTATACAATTCATATTTCATTAATAATTATTGCCTTCGTTCCTATTATATCTTCCAACTTTCATTTTTCATCCGTTCCAATTAAACTTTCACTTACCCTTTTCTGTAAAGAATTTGTGCTTCACAATATTTCTTACACATTTCTCTCTCCTTTGTACAACTCTCCACCGCCAAATACTCACTTTTCTTAATTTGTGTGCCAAAGTGAAATGGAAGATATAATAGGAACGGAGGGAGTAACGTATAAAAGTAATAACATAACTTTATTTATAATAAAAATCTAAAAAAAATTAAAACACGAAATAAATATTAAATAAAATTATTAAAAATAAAAAATCGAAAAAAAAAAATTTAAAATATAAAAATTAAAAAACTAAAATAAAATAAATAAAAAAATGAAAAAAGATATAAAAATATGCAGGCCTATGCTGCCAACATTTTTCATAAATGCCATCTTAATGGCAGTTTTCGATAAATTTTTGACATTTTCAAAGAGTAAAAATGTCATCATCATGACAATTTCAGAGAACAAATGACAGTTTTTCACAAAATTGCATTTTTTAGCCGATCAGGTAAAACTTGGCTGGGCAGTGGGTGACACTATGGGAAACGCCTCCATAATTTTTTTATATTTTTAAGATGTTTTATCTATTCTTATTTTGTTTTTAAATTTTATTTTAAAAAAAAATAATTTTTTATTATTTTTTCGTATTTTTTAAAAATATTTTAACTTTTTTTATATTTTAATACGATTTTTTGTATTATTTTTGTATTTATTACAAAATAAAATATGATTATCCTATTAAGTTATGTAAGGGTATATTAGGAAGATAGAGTATATTTTAATCCTATTTTGGGAAGATAAATAACATAGTTCTATTTGTATATTTAGGGATTAATTTAGTCCTATTTAATGCTATTATCTCTTTCCCAAGTATTACGGTATTACCGCTAATCATCTACTCTCCTGCCGCCTAATCATCATCTCAAAATGGGAAGAGCTATTTAGAAATCATTAACAAATGAATTCAGAACTTACCCAACAATGAAGTAAACATAAAAATAATTGCACATGAATAAAATTTAAAACTTCTTTCAAATTGAGTAAACAATGATTTTCTACCCTTAATACATTTGATATAATTAATTTTAAAATAGGACTTATTTGATCCTACTAAAATATAAAAAATCTAAAATAATTTTTAAAAATATTAAAATAATAAAAATTAAATAAATTGTTTTTTTAAAAACTAAAAACTTTAAGAAAAATAAATAATAGATAAAAACACATTAAAAATATAAAAATATATGGAGGCATTCCTGCAGCCTCGACCACCGCCCAGCCACATCTGATCGACGAAAAAAATGTCATTTTATTTAAGAACTGTGTTTTTTTTAAATACCATGCAGTGGCATTTTTACTATTTCAAAATGTCAAATTTCCTCAAAAAGCGTCATCAAGATGGCATTTCTAACAAATGTTTGCATTTTTTCGGTGGTCAGAGTTGCTGGTGCCGGGAGGTTGTTGATGTGGAGGCAAAGGCCTCCATTTTTTGTATACTCCCTTCATATTTGAAAGTTCAATACAATAGGTTTGGACACAACATTTAAGACTGAAATAGTATGGGTAATGAATAGTGTACAAAAAGTATGAGATAAGATAGAAAAGTATGAAAGAGAAGATAATAAGTAGGGAAAACTAAGGGTAATTGAGTGTTATAAAGTGAAAAACTTACAAAAAGGGAAAATGTAGCAAATTCTTAAACTCCTTCTCCTCCTCCTCTTCCTCCTCCTCCTCCTTCTATTTCTTTGGTCGGTGAGAGAGGAGTGGGGGTTCGATGGGGCGGATGTAACAAACTAAGCGACCAGGGTTTCAGTCGGGCCGATGGGACAGGGGTTGGTGAAGGGGGCAGAGAATTGCAACAGAGCAAGGGGAAGTGGCGGAGGAGAGGACTCATCAGGGATTGTGACGGAGCTAGAGGCAGTGGCGGTGGTGAGGCCTCATATGGGATTGTGATAGAGCTAGGATTGGGGCTGGGGGCTAGGGCTAGAGAGGGGATTGGGGAGGGGACATGGGTAAGGCGGTGGTGGTTGCCGGAAGGGTCTGCGGCGGCGTTCACTTGACGGGCGACAATAGTCGGTCAGGGCAGGTTCTCCGGAATGAGCGGCGCCGATGGAGGGTTGGAAGAGTATGTCGGCGTCAGTCGCCGGACGGAACGGGGCGGCAGTTGGGCGGGGCGGATAACTGTCACCGGAGAAGTTGTACTCAACTAGAACGACGTGAGGACATGTAACTATAACCGACAAGTGAAATTGTCATGTAATTAATATAACTCTAATATAAGTCACTACAAAAAATTTAGTCACTTTCGATGTGTAACTGAGGGACATAATAGTAATATTACTCACTCATTCATTGTGACATACAGGAGCGGATCCAGGGTTTCATGTTGGGGTGGGCTGAAAAACTTAATTGATACTGTAATACATACGAAAATTTTCAAAATCAGCAAAAAATCAAAGAAAAAGTACGGAAAAGGTATTTGTGGTTTTAGCCATTTTAAGATAGGGGCATGTGTTTCATTTTGTAACAAAGTGGGATATGTATTTCAATTCCGTTATCACAACGGGGGCATGTCGTCTAACGCCGTTACAAAAATTAAATCCGGTTTTCAAAAGTTTCCAAAAAACTAAAAGAAAATTTGGGGAGGTGTGCCATGTCAAGGAGACAAACAAATTATAGTTCACTTTGGATTTTTCGGCTCAAATTGGATGATTTTTTAAAAACAAATTTGCTAATATCACTTTTCGGATGGACTTTCTGGAGACATGGTGGCTCGAAACAAAAAAAAAAAAAAAGATGATCAAGAGGTCGGCTTGACGAGGCGCACCTCATAGTTTTTTTCTTTTAATTTTTCAGAAACTTTGGAAAATCATAGATAATTTTACTAACGGCGTTAGACGTCATGCCCTAGTTGTGATAACGGAATTGAAACACACATCCCACTTTGATAAAAAGTGAAACACGTGCCCTTATCTGAATGCGGTCCAAATCATATGAACCTTTTCGGTACTTTTCCCAAAAATCAAATATAAGAGTTCTCCACTAAATTTGTTCTCGATGGGGCTTTGAAACAAAAAAACTCGTCAACAATAGAGTCTAAATCTACATTAAGAGTACATTCATTTTTAATATAAAATGTCATGAAATCAGCAAAAATCACTCATTTTGTTGTGGAGTGTTATCTTTAGAAGTTTCAAGGCAGAAAATGATCATTCTACTCATTATAAGATCAATACAAAGCGAATCAATCTGCTCATCATAACATATGAACCACATCGTTTGGGCAATGTTCTTGAACACATAGGTCTTGACATAGATACTCGTTGTTCTTATAATTTTGTGCATCAAAAATAAATTGAACACAAATTCAAAACATGAAAATGTCTATATACTGATGGTCCCGGATAGAGGTAACAGTCCAGAGGGGGGGGGGTGAATAGACTTTTAAAGCTTTTTCGACTTTTAAAACTTTTCCCTTCTAGATGAGTTGATCTATAATCTTTTGGGGGATTAATAGATGCACAGCGGAAGTCTTTAACTTCTTAGATAAATCGTGTATAGCAACTTTCTATGATAGATGAAGTTAGGACTTAGTTGGGTGAGCAGTTGGCTAGGCAGTTGGCCAGAAAGCAGGGAACTGCTGAGGCAACTGCTAACGAAATACTCAGTGTATGATGAAGGTGCACTCAGAATCTTTTCTCAGAGTAGGAAGATTTGTCTGATGATATGACAAGGTGGGTTGATAATCAATCTTAATGAGAGCACTGGTCTCAGCAGTTGGGTGGTAACCAGGGAACTGCTGAGGCGCCTGCTGAAGTAAAAGCGAAGGTGTGGAAGGATTGATTATATGGTGTTGTTCAGGATAATGTGGGCTTTCTCAAGACGTGCATTAGTCCGAGTAAGTAGGAGTTTTACTGGAGCAGTGGTCTCAGCAGTTGGGTGAAAGTGAGGGAACTGCTGAGGCAACTGTTGGGTTATCACTTTGAACTACAGTGATTAGTTTGAACAGACTTCTTGGAGATAGAGTTGTGAAGGTCTGGTGAAGTGGAGATGTTCCAAGGAAACACTTTTGCGTGAGCAGTGGGCTTAGAAGTTGGGTAGTTCCCAGGGAACTGCTGAGGCAACTGATATGCTTTAAGTGGGATTTCCTGAAATTTAATGGAACAGACCTTATAGTTGTGGTATCTTGTATCTCTTGTATCTCAAAGAAAGATAGTTATTAAGCAGTAGGATAAGCAGTATGGTCAGTTAAGACTACTGCTTAGGATTCTGCTGGCAAACTACAATCTTTTATGAGAAGTGTTCAGTGTGTGCTTTGTTGACTGAAAGTGAATCAACACACAGTATATCCTGGTTCAGAGGTGGTGTAATACTCCTACATCCAGTCCCACCCTCTTTCAGATAGATTTCACTAATGTATTAAGCCCAATACACTTAGTGCCAATCTAGCCTTGATAACTCTGGCCTAGATTGAAGGTGTTTCACGAGGAGTACAACGTCACTCCAAGTTACTCAATCCTTTAGGTTTTTCTCAATTGATCTAGTGGGGGTCAAAAGGTACTCCTGACCTATCTAACCACACTCAGGCCGGGAACAACTGTCCTCCTGAAGTGTTTACAACAATTTCTGATTTTGTTACAAGAAAGTTCTAACCTCCAACCAGGAACTAAACTTCTAGGATTTTGGCAATGAATACTTGATACTGAGAAGTTTAGTGAAGCAAGAGTCTGAGCAGAGAGTCGTGGATAGAATAGCACTTCTTGCTCAGTGAAATATCTCTCTACTTAGGATGCTCGGGCTTGGTTAGAAACTTTCGTTTCAGCCTCTATTTATAGGCTTTTTGGCTGATCAATCTTATCCGTTGGTTAGGATAGTTTGATCTCTTCCGTTGAATTTCTGGCAAGGACAAATTGTACTTCCGTCTTTTTGTGCTGGAGCTTTAATTCGGGCTGATGCATTTGTCTTGAATAATTCACCCGCTGAAGTTTTCTCTCCACAGTTTCATTGTGCGTCCCATGCCGCGGCCCCCGGTACTTGATTCGGTATCAAATACCGGTCAAGTTTTGTCTTCAATCATTCATTTGATATTACGAGCTTCGTGACATATGAGTAATTTTTGAGTCAAATGGTATTTGCCGGTAGGATTCAAATATTCTATTAAGGTAAAGAAATTTTACCTTATTGCATTTTTATTTTTCCGGTAATATTTCTTAGACTCAAAAACTGTACATTTAATTTGTCACGTTAATACTAGAATTAAAATGAGATGCAATGTACACGTGCTAAGTATAGTGACATCATCAGAATCTTTATCAAAATTGGGACCGGCTGAAAGGAATTTTTTGAAAATAATACTATCCTCCATATCGCATTAATTGCAACATTAGAATATATACACTATTCATATACTTTACTTTGACTATATTTTATTTATTAATGTATGTGAATTATTTTTGTTGAAAAATATTGTTAAATTCGTCTCATTACTAAGTTTTATAATCTGATTTTTATTTTATTTTTACTAATACAGAATTAAATATAATGACGGTCAAAGTTGTGCATTGACAAACGTGAAATGTTGACTGTTGCAACTAAAAAGAGACGGAGGAAGTACCTATTTTTTTTTACTTTGCCCTGCGCTTGCCCACCATAGCGCTAACATATAGATCCTCCCCTGGTGACATATGTCACTACATGACTTTCACTATAGCGGGTCACATTTCTGAAAACTTTTTAAAAGGTCACTTTTTTTTTTAAAATGACTTCAATTTTAGTAATATTAATGTCCTTGTCTCTTGATTTTTTATTTATATTTTAAATCATGGATCGATAAAATTCAATAAGTGGTAGTGTGATTTTCAAAATAATAATCCCTAATTGTGTATTTGTGTGGCTTACATTCAACTCAATATTTTCTCTTATAAATAGAAGGTTTATCGATTCTTTATAACTACGGATTCAAGGAAAACTCTATTAAGAGCACTACTAATATATTCTGACCCTTGTGGCACTCCCTTCTATTAAGAATAAGGGAGTGCCACAAGGGTTAGGTTCCGGGTTCGAATCCCAACAACTGCGATGAGGGGTTACTATGCTAAAAGTGCATAGGGCCTATGCAAGTACCGGGGACAAAACCACACTCTCTATCTGTCAGATTGAAATTATAGTCTAATTTACATCCTCCCAACGTACCGTCCGATCGGGGTTGGGGGCCCCTCAGGGATGGGGTGTCATCCTTTCCTAGTTCCCTTCTAGAGTTTTTTCCATTTTTGGTCCCCCGATTATTATGTCAATGACACTTTTGGTACTCGACCTCTAATTTTTCCATTTGTAGTCCTCGACTATAGTGCTAGAGACACTTTTAGTCTCCGACTTCAAGATTTCCCACATTTAGTCCCTAAGTATTATCAAATCAACACTTTTAGTCCTCCCATTATGATTTTGACACAATAAGTGGAGGATTAAAATGTCACTATTATAATAGTTGAAGGATCAAAAGTGTCACTTTTATGAAAGTTGAAGGACTAAATATGAAAATTTTCAAAAACAGGTACCAAAAGTGTCTCTAGCGCAATAGTCAAGGACTAAAAATGGAAAAAATCAAAGTCAAGTACCAAAAATGTCAATAACATAATAGTCGGAGGACTAAAAGTGAAAAAACACTTCCCTTCTATTTTATACACGTTGTCGTGTTATGTTAAACACGTTCGACCTTGTAGTTTTCGGTATTCCGTTTATAAATATGTTTACCCAAGTTGCTGACGTGGAGGTCAGGATGGCCGAGTGGTCTAAGGCGCCAGACTCAAGTTCTGGTCTTCGAAAGAGGGCGTGGGTTCAAATCCCACTTCTGACAAGATTTTTTATGTAATGCCAATAGATTCTTTTTAATTTTTTACTAAGGAGTAACTTTTATTGGGCATTTTTATTACCAATGACTTATTTGCATGTTAAGTAGGGTGTATGATTGACGAAAATGTAATCTAGGTTTCCATTTTCTGTAATTCACTTGCATACATTTTAACATCACTTTTTTAATCCCCTCTCACGAAATTATGTACTATAGACTAAATTACCAATATTAATAGTTTTATTGAGTGTTAATATGATTAGCAAATCAATTGTGATATTTGTTGTCAACTCATTATTGGACCGTCTCACTTCATTTCACGTTTTTCAAATTAAAAACAATCACGGTTTAGTTGATTGTGTGGGAGTTATTAAGTTGTTTCAATGAGATCTCACATTTGAATATTTGATAATTACTAGTATTATACCTGTGCGATGCACGAGATATATATTTCTCATATAAAAGAGTGAATATTTGAATGATACAAATAATATATGTAATTAATAATTTACCATATAAGAATTTAATTTTCATAACGTAATAATATCAATTGTAAATATAACTGATAGCAAAAGAAATAAATATTTCAGGATTATTATCTAAATATATCAATTTTGTGTCTAAAAACAATGATATGTTTCAAAGTCGTATATCTTAGTCATTACTTTTAAGGACCAACGAATAAATAATTTTTTCTAATTTTTGGTACTATTAATATTTATGCATTACTTGAATATACTCCGTAGTATACTATATTACCATCATCATGAATATCACGTTCCGAAAAACTATCTATCAAAAATTTAATGATAATGTATCTATTGGGAAAAATAATTTAAACATCCAAAATTTTGAAGGAGTGTGAGATAAGTATTCTAAACAAGCACATGTAATATAATTGTCTCAAACTTTATATAAAAAAGTTATGTTAGCATTATGATCATAAATTGTTTCACAAATTTTAATTTAGGGTGTTAAGTACATAATTTAAAATATACAAAACATTTATGAGAATCCAATTAAAATTAATTTGTATTGGATGTAATATTATTTATTTTACAAATAAAATTTTAGAATGTTAACTGCATTCTAACATGCAATTATAGTGTGAGAATAACTTTTTATGTAAAGTTCGAGGTACAATGTAGTGGCATTATGTGAAGCTAAATTGTGCATTAGGTGAATTTGAAATGTGCACTAGATGAAACTAAAATGTGCAGAATAAAAGGTACGATGTGATGTTATTTTTGTACCTTTTATTCTGCACATTTCAGTTTCACCTAATGCACATGTGACTTTAAATTTTAATTCTACACATTTCAATATCATCTAATGCACATTTCGGTTTCACCAAATGCACAATTCAGTTCCACATAATTCAATCCAACGGTCAAGATTCGTTCTCATTTCTCTCCTAAGATCCGTTCTTACCGGAACCGCTCTATATATATATATATATATTATATGCAAGTTTGGAGTACATATCTCACACCCTATTAAAGTTTGAGATACTTAAATTATTTCCCCTATCTATATTACCCATTTTGGAAAAATCTTATACCTAAAAGTACTACATATAAGAGAGAAAATTATCGCGATTTGTTGTTAGAAAGCTTATTTTCTAATACCTAAAAGCACTACATATGAGAGAGAAAATTGTCCCGCTCAATTCCCCTGCTTAACGGTTAGCAATCTTATCTTCTAATACCTAAAAACACTACATATGATAAGAGAAATTTTCCCCGTTTAATTATTAGCAAGTCTATCTTCATCATATACATAAAATAACTACATATGAGATGAAAAATTTTGTCGCTCAATTGTTAGCCGATTTATCTTCTTATACCTTGTTGGGATATTGACCTAGAGGCCCAATACCCGGATCAAGAAGGCCCAAGATATCCGGCCCAAGCAACGAGCCCATCACTCTATGATGAATAGATCCAGTAAAGAATTCATGCCGAACGAGATTCGGCCCAAATAAAGGTTGGCCCAATAAGAAGACATACCGAACGGAGTTCGGGCTATATATCATACTTGGGCCAATTTGACAGCGTCTTCAGCATAGTCCAACATCCCGTTCGTGCAACGGACAACCAGCAAGTGGTCAGGTGCAATTAATGCCAGATTATGACATCAGCAAGTGGAAACATGGGTGACCAAGTCGGTGGAGCAACAGCCAATCAGCACAGGGCAGCCCATGCTCTCCATTAGTATAAATAGGAGGTTTAAAATCATTGTAAGGGTTAGCATTTCAATACTCACGCTCTAGAATAGCATCATTGCTCTTATTTCTTGTATTAAAGCATAGTTTCCGACCTATCGATCGGGAAATTCCTTGTAATCAGACTGGTTAGTTAATACAAGTGAGCTTTCGAGTATTAGTGAGTTCATATCTTATATTTTGTTTATACACTTTGATTCTGTGCCATTCCCGATATATCCAAAGTTCGTGTTGGGCTTTCGGATCTACGGGATTTACCCTCAACTTTGGCGCCGTCTGTGGGAAACTTACAAAAAGTTTCACATTCAAATTATCCAAAAAAAAAACACTATTTTAAAAAATGGTCAGAATCAGTTCTTATCATACAAACGACGGTTCACGCCGACACGGAAGGAGTCACACCCCGGGGAGTCAAAACCCTCAGGGACAATCCAGCCGAGGATCGTATCCTCGTTTTGATGGGGATTTTGTGATTCCCGAATTTCTGAGAAGAAATCCTCAGGCCATGCGAGACATGGCCCAGGTCATGCAGCATATGGCGAACGAGGAGGAAGGAGGGTCTAACTTTACAGGGGAGACTCCACGCACGGAAACAACCACAGCGTCATCCCGTTCGCATGCCCATCGGGATAATCGACGTAGCGCCCCACCAACAGCACATCATAGTCCCAGTGACCGAACCCCGATCGGATCACAAGCTAGAGGACCAACTCCCATTGGTCATCATTTCCAGTATGCCGAGCGGGAGAATACCAGGACCCGTCAACGGCATTGGGACCGGGACTATACGGACATGAAGGCTCCACCACCGCCCCCTTTGACGGCCCAGGAGGAAGAAATGGCCGAGATGAGGAGGCAGATGAACGAGATGCGGGATCAAATGAAAGGGCGCCTGTACAACCTGCCCCAGTTCAGCTGGGAATTACTTCCCCTTTCACTAGGGAACTCATGTACGCAGACATCGAAGGGGGTGCCAAGCCACCGACTGGCCAAATCTATGACGGGGTGGGAGATTCCCATGTGCATTTGAGGAGTTACCAAGGGGGACTCATGCTGCTAGGAGCACCCGAGGCTGCTATTTGCCGGTTGTTTTTTAGTACGCTCAGAGGGCCTGTCCAGGAGTGTTTGGGACACTCCAACCTGGGTCAATCAACAGTTTCGCCGAATTATCGGCGTTATTCTTGGCCTAGTTTGCTTCCAGTGCCAATCCCAAACGGCACTTCAGCTATCTGACCAGCGTGAAACAGAACGTCAAAGAGACCCTCAATCAATTCCTGAAAAGATGGATGGATGAAACTCTGACAGTGGGAAACATGATGGATGATACGCCATTACCCTGTTCACGAACGCTCTCCGAACAGGGGAGCTATACAAGGATCTGAAGAAAAATCCGGGTACAGCGTACGCCGAGGTATTAGACAGGGCTCGCAAGCATGCCGCCCTAGAAGAGGAGATACTGATCAGGGATAAGGTCATAGCACCAACAGCATGATAGCACCGACGCAGCTTCAACATCTTACACCAGCAGTCCAACAAGAAGCATCAGCAAAGATTCAGGCTTCATCCCCCGATCTGCATCAGCGACAAGAACAAAACAGATCGCTTGAAGAATTTCGCTGCAAAATTTTCTCGCCAGAAATCAGCAATAAAGCATCCAACACTGTCTCCATTCTCCCTGCAAAACAATAAAAGAAAACAACAAAATAGAGAAGGAATGCTGAAGAGGGGAGACTCACCTACTCTTCCTGGGATTTTGATCGAGCTTCGTAAACTGCTGGAAATATAGTTGATGGTTCAAAAGAAAATACACTGGTTGATATTTATACAGTGATGCGATGAGTTCGGATCTTAAAATCAACAGAATAAAAGTCCTGCTGGGATAGGAATTGTTAAATAAGTAATTGTCCCATATAGGACCAAAACAAAGGTGAAATGCAAAAATAGGACTTGATATGTTTTCTTCCCTTAATAGGCCCAATTTACTCCTACCGTTAAAAACATGAAAATTAGCATCCCAATTTTGCCCTTGAACCCATTTACACATTCTCTCCCCCTTCCCCCCTCATAGATCGATCGATTATTTCTCTAGAGCCCGAAGTAACAGCATCCCATCTTCTTCGCATAGATCTGCCGCGTCGCTTACTCCACCGAATGGTGCTTCCATTGCCTTTGCCTTCATCGCCTCCACCGCCTCTGCCTTCGTCACCTCCACCGCCTCCGCTTCGCTGCTTTCTCCATCCACCATCATCAACTCTATTTTGCTTTGGATTTCAGGTTTCTTCTTCTTCTCCTTCTTCTTCCCCTTCTCCTCCTTCTTCTTCTCCTCCTCCTCCTTCTCCTTGTCCTTCGTCTTCATCTTCCTTTTTCAAATTTCGATTCTTTTGTTTTTCAGGATCTTGACATGGATTTGTCCAATTTTTCAGACTTCTATTTTCGTATTTCTAATTTCTTACGGAGTATTTCTTAGTATTTGAAATTTTTTGATTTTCTGGATTTTTGGATGATGGCATACGATTTTGCCATGTTTATGGCAGAAATGTACACTGACAAAATCATATTATGGCAAAAAGGTTTATTAAACTGGCTTTCTGTTTTTTTTAAATAACTTCGTATTTGTAATTTTCAATTGTGTTAGCTTGCTTATTCAATTACAATTTGGAATTTTTCGAACATTTGATTAATCATTTCATGTTTTTGCCAAATATATGGCAGTTTTGTGTTCCTATTTCAAGATAGATCTGCCAAATCTGTGGCAGATTTGAAATCCTTGTTCATGGCAGAATTCAAATGAATCTACCAAATTAAATCTGACAACAATATGACAGTTTTTTTGAGTCAGAGTTGTGATGGTGCTCGGTGGTCAAGTTTCCACCGGTGGTGGTCGGAGGATGGAGGTAGCTGCGGCGGATGGTGACTCCGACGCGGGAGGGCGGTGACAGGCGGTAAGGGTGGAGGCATACAACGCCGGCGAGGGTGGTGACAAGCGGCGGTGGCAAGTGGCAACTGTGTTGAGGCTGGCTGAAGTTCTCGTGTGAAATATTAGGGTTTCCTGAAATTTTAATTTTACTTTTTAAATTTTATATTCAAATAAAACTGAATGGGGGCATTTTTGTACAAATAGGTATTTTTAAGTCCTATGAAACATAGACTCGTTTTTTGGTCCTGTTTGTGCACACCAAACTTGTTTTAGTCCTAGATAGGTCATTAACTCTTGTTAAATGTTGTGAACAATTGGAATTTCCGATACGCCAGCCCTATGAGTTTTTATCTCCCGGGTAGAATTTGAGATAGAGTTCCAATTGGAATTTATTTTAGGTGGACCTTAAATCAAAGTTGAAGGGCATTTGTTATAATTCCTGAAGCAAGAGAATTGAGTCATTTTGAATCTCAATTTTAGCCTAATGGAAGTATTAAAATTTTAAATCAATGGGTTCGGTTGATCTTGCTCACTGATTTAAAATTTTATTTGCAAAATTAGGCCAACTTTGATAGCCTATATATAAAATCAATTTTCGAGACTCACTTGTTCGTGATAATAAAATCAGTTCACTAAGCAAGTCTCGAGGGGGCATTTGTGGACATATAAAAATTAGTGGGCCAATATTCAATTCCGTTGGGCTGCTCATGACGGTTGTTGGGCCTTATAAAAATTTTAATATGGACCCATTCGGATAAAATTTAATTATTGAATTAATTTGGGTTATTAAAAAAACCAATTAATTTAATTATAAATTAATTCCTTAAATGAATGGACTGGTCCTATTAATTTCTCTATTTTGAGCCCAATAAATAAGAGACATGATCCAATATATGAAGAGGAGGATGAATCTAGTCAAGAAATCAGTCCATATGCATGGAAAATGGCTGCGTACCTTGTTAAAAAGGCTGTCCAGATACATCAAACAAGTACTGATTTTTCTAGCTATCAAATGCAAGCAAATAGAGCCCGAAGCCCATTTTAATCGAGACCCATGAGGTATGGACGAAATTCTGCAACCCTAAAGCATATTTTCATCACCTCCACTCTTATAAATAGGGGTCTCAGTTGAGAGGAAAAGGAGGAGAATTTTTAGACGAAGAAACGTTGCAGAAAAGCTCTCAAGAACTCCCGTAAGGCTCTGAACGATCCCGAAGAAGAGGAATAGATCAAACCACGATTTTTGTTAAGAATATACGAATAATCCTTTGTGATTTCGTCTATTCTTAATAAAATAAATCCAAAAGTTGAAGAACGTTCGAAGATCTGAAGAACGAAGCTTGAAGATTCGAAGATCTGAAGAACAAGACTTTGAAGATTTGAAGATATGAAGAACGAAACTTTGAAGATCTGAAGATATTCATATTAAGATTGAATCAAGATTCAATTGAAGATCAAGCCACATATCCCGGGAGGCCATTAAACAGAAGATCAAGCCATAAAACGGCCCTTTTGTTGAAGATCAAGCCACTTGAAAACCGGAGGCCCTTCAAGCTGAATTCTTAATTCAAGAATATTTGAAGATTCAAAGAACGAAGATTCGAAGATTCAAAGAACAAAACTTTGAAGGTTTGAAGATACGAAGAATGAAGGTTCGAAGATTTGAAGATCTGACGAACGTTCGAATATTTGAAGAATTAAAGATTTAATTTTGAATTAATTTCTTTAATTATATTTATGTCAAATTGCAAGTGAAGAATCAGAGGATTCATATTTAGAGATTGTACCCAATATTCTCACATATTATTATTTGCGATCAATTTTAAGTAAATACTTAAAAATTTGTTTCACGTCCTCACCCAACAACCACACAACCTAATTATGAACCCAATTGGTAACACTAAAATCGGGTGAATCGGTTGATTCTGCTGAAATTCATTAAGTTCTAACTGAAGTGGTTGTATTTACTAATTCTGCTGATTTATGAAAAAAAATTAAAATATATTTTATTAATAAAAAAGGGAAAACAGAAACTAATAATCCAACCTTTTAACGGTCTTCTTACAATAGTCCCACCTTTTAATTATTTAGGAATAATCCAACCTTTGCACCTCATCTTAATTCAATGGTCTCTGACTGGTTGATGACATGCTATTCCAAGTTATTTTCTTATCTTTGCAATATATTATACCAAAATCTCAACTTATGGTCATTCAAACAAAATTAGTTTTAATAAAAAAGTGAGGTGGATTAAATCACATGGTGCCAAATGTGGAATGCACCAAAACATCCCTTAGAGCATATGCACGAGTTTTTTCCCGGATCAATGATAATTAATTAATTAATTATGAAATTAGGATTGGGTTAAAAGTTATTACCGATATACTGCTAGAATTAACTCTGGTTGGGAAAAGTCGCCAAAACGTCTGACGACTTATAAGTTGACAAATGGTTTTGCAACTTCGGCTTCAGCAAGAAGCAACGCATGAGGGTTATTAGCCAATAGGAACTCATCCAAATTCAAAAATCCCTATTTTTTTTAAATTGTTGTAACTTTTATATTCATAATCCGATTTTCATAAAAGTTATATCAAAATTTATAAATTTTTATTATCTTTCATATGACACCAATATTCGATATATAAAAATTAAAATAATTTTGAAGATATCATGGCTAGATGTTTTTTAGGCTACAAACTTTTTTAAGTAGATGTATCTTCTAAAATTAAGATCACGTAATTTTTTAGAGCACATTTAATAACATTGAATGAATCGGCTACTTAGGCTGAAATTTGTGAAATTCTGATTGAAGTGGCTGGACTGGCTGACTGAAATTTTATAGATCTATGAAAAATTGTATTTACAATAATTTTTATTAATACGATGAAAAAATTAATAAAAATGAAGCTCAAACCGCCCCCACCTCCCTCGCCACCGCTCAAACCGCCCCCCACTGCTAAACATTAACTTTTGAAAAAGAAGCTCTGCAACGGAACTGAGAAGAAGGACGACGAACCGTTGTGATGGAGTATATGGCCCGGGAACACCCGGCCCACAGACTCCTACTACTCCTTTAGAGGTCCAACAGGCCCAGAAGGTCCAACAGGCCCAGATCACAGCGCCCAGAGTACCAAGCAGCCCGCACTACGCGCCAGGGGTGCCTTCGGCCCCCTGGCCGAAGGCCCTAAACTCTCACAGGACGGGCTTCGCAAGCAAATTAAGAAACTGGGAGAAAACGGCGAAAACAGTAGCCCTCGGCACTGTGAGCCCTCGGCACCAGAGTGCCATCGGTTGGAGGAGCCCTCGGCCATTGCTCTATAGCCGAAGGCATCTCACTCGACAAGATATCCGCCTCACATGCGTGCAGATCACCGTACCGTGCACAGACGTCCCATCCAACAGCCGCATTAAATGCGGCCACATGCGGCTGCCAGCGCCAACCAGTTGAGGTGACCCCTCGGCCAATGAGCACTTGACACGTGTCCCTGTCCGGCATTTATTGCTACTATAAATAGCACCCCATTTCCTCATTTGTAACCACGCTGAAACGGCATTCATACTGAATACACTCTCTCTCTACTTTTACTCACTTGCTCTGACTTCTCTCTAAGTTATTCCCCGTAATAACCCTTCGGATATATACCCCCGGGTAGACTATCCATCATTTGGTGCTCTCATTGAGAGGTCGAACAATCAAGTAAGAAACCCTCCCCCTCGATCAAACGCAAAACACTAGCCCTCCATTAAAATGGTGAGGACAACACGTGCCAACTCAAAGAACGTAGAAGACAAGAACCTGGCCCTCGGCGACGTCAACGCCCCCGAAGCCTCTCACAGGGCTCCCGAGGGCAGTGTCATCGCTGGGCTGGAACAGGCGGCTGTCGATCTACGCCTTCAGATCCAACAGAATGCCCCCGATGCCCGCCTCGGCATCGAGGCCAAGAAGAAAAACCGGAGCGATGACCAAGTCAGCCCTCCGGTT